CTGAAATAAAAATCAACTTCAAGAGATCTACATGTCGTTTTTGTCAAATGTTGTATGTAATGGTAACTAATATAATAAATGTATAAGTAAATTCCGTTATTCCATATGAGGGTAAAACGTGGTCATCAAGAGTAGAGGATACTCGTAGATTACCAATATTTGGTCATAAGTGTCTTGGAAGTATTGCTCATGTGTTTTGGGACCAGTGAGTAGGGAATCACGAGGTGAGGGATATGGTACTAGGTAAATAAGTCAGATCTATTGATGATGTGGTGAATCTTAGTCAACTGACGTGGTTGGATCATGTATTACGTATAACCAACCACTGTTTACCACAGCGGGCGATGTTGTCTGGTGTAGGAGTTGGCTGAAAGAATGTTAGTGATTGCCAAACAACGTTGCGGGATTAGTCAATGAAGTCATTGATAATTGGATGTAGCCACAATAATAGGTGTAGACTATCTGGTAGGTCTTATGATTATTGTGACCAATGATAAGTGACTTTGAATGACATGGCTCAATAATTGTATGCCATAGCATCCATTTTTTGTCTTCTCTCGAATTCTGAGGATCTCACAATAAATACGATCAGATGTTGGAGACGTTGAATGATATAGTTCAAAATCTGTCACAATAACACGAATACGTTCACTATTTTTATTTCATTGGGTTTTGAGTTTGAATGTTATCTTTTATTCCTTGCATTCATTCACTCTCCTCGAAACAGAATGTCTATACTTAATATTTTTTACTGTTGATATTGTTACTGCTTCTACTACTGTAATAATATATCTTGGTAATTTCAACTCATCATGCTAATTTATTGTGAAAACGTGAACTGATACACAAATAAACCTGATTCTACGTTGCTTCAATTAACTGATGAGGTGTAAACATCTTCACACTTGGTAACTGAGTTACAATGAATCGTCACAGAGCTTCGAACCATAGAACTATCAAAGTCTACACAAGATGATTGTTCTTTAATTTTGTGTGTATAATTTATGTTTGATATGTTAACACATTAATTTTTAGGCATAACAACTACCATTATTTTTGGAATCGTTATATTCTTCGTTCACCACAATTATCTACTACGTCGGGCTCACCAAATAATTGTGGTGAACGAAGAATATAACAATTCCAAAAATAATGATAGTCATTACGCCTAAAAATTAATGTGTTAACATATCAAGCATAAATTATATACACAAGGAAATTATACAGGACGTTACTTAAACTGTCAGGAATTGGTGTGTTCGAGTTTCTTTTGGTCTAGTAATCCACAATTATAAGTAGTTAATAATTCCAATCACAATTGTTATAGTCCGGCCAAGGTGTATATCCAGATAAAGCATATAATGCGAATATCATTGTGATCTGTAAACGTAGATAGTAAATATATTAGGGTTCTGTTATCATAACAGTAGATAATTGAAAACAAGAAGCACATATGTACAGCAGTGTATTTGTGAGTGATAATGAGTGTGTCATCCTATGGGGAATTCAAAATGCAAACGGAAAACCCAATGTCATGTGTGTTTAAACAACTATTTTGCAGTCAATCATAGTAATTGTACCAATTATGAGAAGTAATGAAAGAAATGCGAATAATAGCAAAAGCTAGTTACGAAATAAGTCTCTTCTAACTATCTCCACAAATAACTCAGGGGTTTCATTCAAAGTTATGTGTCCCTACATCATCATATTGATAGAGAAGATTTACAAAACAAGCAAAGATTGATGATGATTGGCAGCGGAATCCAGGACGCGTGTTGCATCCTACTTAGGACTCGTCAGTTGGGTGTACCTGGAGTTGATGTTCACTTCAGTGGGAAATAGTAATAATGACTCATTTTCTCAATTAAAGAATAAAGTGTACGAAATTGTAATCACTTAAAAATAAAAAAAAGACAACAAATAACCCTTTTTGAACGTACAAACTCGTATATTCGGTTTCAAACCATACTTTAAGTGTGATTTCTAGCGATATTATCTTGCTAATCATACTAAATTTGTTTAATAGAGCTGGGTTTTGAACCTGCTACTTTGTGGTTGAAAGTTGAATGTCTTGATCGTTAATTATTAATTCCATTTGATGAATGAATGCGATTGTTCTTGATCGCGAGCGATGTCACTTATTTAATACGACTTTTTATATGTAAATCCACGTAAATAAAAAATGTACAATCTTCCTGATCCCATAATCTAATCAATCACTTCTAGCCACCTACCAAGCTTCTTAAGTTTATGTCTTCTTATTTCTATCACTATTCGAATGATATTTCTGGTCTTCCATATTGTGCTGGCATTTCATGTACTTATATGTGTTGTTATTCTGGTTGTCAAAAGGCTTCTGAATAAAAACGGCTTTCACAATGAAGTGTCATAACTCTTCAGTATGAAGATACTTCAACTCCCGGGGCAAAGTTTAAGTAGTTCAAACATCTAAAACTGAACTATCGACTTAAGCGCCCAAATGATTTGATTATCGAAAACTACTCACTGACTAGAGGATTAGATTTCTATGTAATCAAACAATGTACTTCTTGCAAAAAATTTTAAGCATAAAAATACACACAATAAAATATCGTAGACCATTGAAAAGGAAATTGGTTCTGTGCATCACTTACTGTCTAATCATTTAAGACAGTTGTTAATCCTAATCCTTTTGAACATTTGTATCGATAACTCTACACAATACACTTTCAAAATTATCTTAAGGTATATGTCATTTCCTAATTATTGAATTCCATCCCATTGTCTGTTTCTGTATATATACAGAGAGAGAGATTCAGACAAGTTATTCTAACTGTAAACAATTTGCTATGAACATTGACATATTCTTGAATTAAATGTATCAATAACAATGTCTTATGTAGTTGTCGTTGTTGTGCAATTTACACAAGGGATATAATTTGTTTAGCTGCATACCATGTGTCTACATTTCGTTTAATATTCCTAGTGAAAATGCAAAATCTTACAAGGGATTTTTAATTTTATTCTAAAAGAATTTTGCCCACATGTTTTGATGCCAATTTACTCTATCTGTTGTAGTTCAAGATGTATATCTATCTTCTATCTGTTGATCAGTTGAAAACTAATACTATATGACTAACTAATCTGTTATTATTTATGGAATAGTGAAACATAACCGTTCAATTATTATTTATAAGGGTGTTTAAATTATCCAGTTGTTAGTATTTAGAACGGAATTTTGACCAGCAGTTGTTGGTATGTGTGTATCGTATATAAATTACCGAGATAATAGCCATTTTAATCATGCCTTTTAGGATGAAATATGCATTTTTGATTCCATTGTTAACTACATTCAATCCACTCTATCAAACATTTGAGACAATGGGTATTTCGAGGAAAAAACCCCACAAGATGAAATACAAGTGAACAAAGACTTATCAAAATTCAGTTTTAATTATGAACAACGAGATAACTCAAACTCATACTAGTTATTGTCTATATGGATATATTAGTTAGAAGTGTATAGCACTTTGACTTTTGTAATGGGATATACTGTGTTCGAGTCTCATAGTGGGCATCAACAACAGGATATATATATATATATATATCCCAAACAAAAAAGCACACGTACCAGCTTTCACTGCTAACTTGATGCTGTGGATAACACATATTGTTTGTTAGTACTTGATTATTTTCTATGTATCAAACACTTGTACAATGACTAATTCGGATTTTTAATCCACAAATCTGATATCACTTCTTAAAGTTCTTGATTACAAAGCCGAGCTTTGCTGTGGGGGTAAACGAATTGTACTCTACCATAACAAGGAAACCATATCAGAAAAATGGTTCAGAGTCGTTTTTATTGGCAGTAAACGGGGCTTGGATACATTCATTGTTAATCTTCCGATAAATCTTCACTTCGTTTCATCCAAAATTCTATTTCCTAATCCGATACGTCGTTTCCCATTCCCACCTTTTCATTATATTCTTCTTTTAGTCTTGTTGCTTTCGTAAGATAAAATTATCAAATGCAATATTTTCCTATGGTTCTTGTGCCTACCTGTTTAACTTATTAAAACACAACTACTTTCAAAGTCTTACACTATTCGTTCCATAGTGTTATTTTCCATGATTATTTCAGTGAAAACGGATATTATTATTATCATCATTCAACATCTATATGCAAGCTCATCATTGATCACTTGGTAGTGGACCAATGTCTTGTTTGTTTTGTCTTTTTAGTGCTAATCGAATTCTATCGACAGAGTTTCCACTTGTCTCTATGACTCGGCATCACATGCACTATAATATAGTGTTAGATCATTGGAGGTGGTCGCCAGGAAACACTAGACTTAGGTTTCATGCTATTACACTATCGTCACCAAGGCAAACGTTTTCAGGTATACCTTGCTGACCGACGAAAGGTTCATACACCACCCATTTCCCTAGGATCGTGGGACTCATATAGCCAATTGGTTTGGAGTTGTTGTTTTGTAACTCCCGTAGTTGGACCCTCCGTACCCGCAAACCCGCTTAAAGATCCGAATACTCGCTTTTGGTCCTCTCAATTTCGTAAACAACACACCATCTACGAAAATGCAGTGAGTAAGAATTCTCTGATAGAGTGGCTGTATACGCGTGGCCATATGAGAGCAATTTAAAAGAGGGAGCAGACTCTCCTCACTCTCGGCCCTACCAAAGATTGATCACATTATGAGACATTTCTTGAATACCCTTGAAACTTTATTATGAATTATTTTTAAACATGGATTTCAATATAACCAAGGTTATTATGATTATAGTGTGGGAAGTCAGTACATTCTTTTCACTCATATTTTATGCTTTAAATTTGTGTGTCAATCATTTAAGATAAATTCAGCCATCAAGAAAAAAATCTTAATATTCAATAGTTCTACAATTTTTTTTAATCAATCTTATTGTGCATTCTGCATAATCATTGATTGAATATAATATTTAGAATTTATGTGTAATATTAGTTACCTTTTTTGTTATTGTAGTTGGCTACAAAATTTCCAATCAGAATTAAATCGTCTCGATGCAATTATTCAACGTTGTCTTCGTCGTATGTGTCGTGTCACTACAACTGGTACATTAATATCTCAATTAAATGAAGCTGGTCCCACCTATGCTCGGTAAGTAGTGGTATGACTTAATGTGTACTGGAAATATTTATTTATAAAATTTTCTCTATAAGCAAACTTTTGGAAACGTATGAGATTACTCGATACTTGGTTGTTCCCATGTTTAAGTGTTTGTGATAGTGTGCTGTCCACCTCAGTACTTCTGAGTTGTAATCGAATCCTTGATCTATAAAACTTGGTCATCAGTATGATAGCACTCAATCACTGATTAATTACTGGTTCGTTGGGTTTTTTTTCTATCTCAGTACCTACTATAATCGCTATCTAATGTAGCTTGTGCACGTAAACACTCTGTAATTGATATAATTGCTCACATCTTTCTCCTTGTATATCTTCTGGTAGAATGAGCCGTCAATACATTAGAATCCAGGCTTATATGCTCTACAATGCCTTGCGTAGCAAATATGCACTGACGTACAGGATGTTAGAGCTGACATATTCAGTAAATTGTATTCTTAACTTACTCCTGTTCCCCCTATTGGAGCATAGGCCGCTGACCAGCATTCTCCAACCCACTCTGTTCTGGACCTTCTTTTCTAGTTCTATCCAATTGTTGTTCATCCTTCTCATATTTGTCTACATTTCTCGGCGTAACGTGTTCTATGTTCTTTCTCTTTTCCTTTGACCTTGAGGATTCCAAATGAGAGCTTGCCTTGTGGTGCAGTTTGATAATTTGTGCAATGTATGTCCTATCCACGTTCATTGTCTTTTCCTAATTTCCTCTTCATTTAGAAACTGATTTGTTCTCTCTCATGGTAATAATAATAATAATTTATATTCTGAAAATAATAATTACAGAATTCACGCCGGTTTACAGGCATGATCAATTTGATATAAATAGTAACATTAGATGTGCAGAACAAACATGTGATAGAAGAAAATTTTAAGTATACTAGTTCAGTAATTGTTTAGGTAGTACATATATTACAGCGATCCAATGCATCAGCCGGGAATTTTTAATTTTTCTTAAATGGACAGCCCGTTGATTTATCGACGGAGTAATTAAGGTCATTTCGTGTGCCAGATCGAATTAATGATAATTATCTACAACCAGAGAAATTAAAACGAAGAGAGCACGGAACAACAAAACAATAATTTCACAAGTTGAAATCATGAGTCAGTTGAAGCTAGACCACCATTGAAAACCTGGTCTAGCTTCAACTGACTCATGATTTCAACTTGTGAAATTTACTAAAATCTCCACAAAACTCATTCTGAAAACAATAATTACTAAAATATGTCAATCAGGTCTACTAAAATGCATGTGTCATGTGACACAGTGATATACTGTTGATATTATTCAAATTAGTTAAAATTTGTGGGGACGTTGTTAACATTAAGTGGTTTTACTTAGGGAATGCACTAATAAAAATGGCTAAACATTTAAAGTTCCTATAATACTACTTGTGGAATGAGATACACTTATAGGTGCTAAAGCATTCAATGCATTTTCAGGGGAGCAGTATGTATCGATGCAGCGAATAAATAATGGGAGTGATTTTATCGTACGGATAGATTGTGATAGCTTATTCCAGAGTCTAGAAAATTTATAGGTGAAGTAATTCATATAAAAAGATGATTTAGAATGAGTTTGTTTCACTAGTGCCAAGGAATTACGGATGTCATAATGAGAAGTTTTTACATATTGAATCACGTGATTGGATGTAAACGATAGTTTATGAAGTAGTTTGAAGGAAAAGATAAGATTTAGTTTGAGTCTTCTCCTCCATAAAGGGTCTAGCCCAAGTTTATTACATCTAGAATTATAAGTTAAGGTACAATCAGCTCCAAGAATACGAAGTGTAAATCGTCTCTGTACTGATTCCAGCCTTAATTTATCCTTTATGCGCGCACTGCTAAGAATAAACGTGCAATATTTTATAAGAGGTCGAGCACAAACTTTGTAAATTAAAATACGTGACTCATTGTTGTAAAGGTTTCGAGTTATGTAACCTATTAGACGTTGAGACTTAGAGGTCTGTTTTAATATCTGTTCTGTAATCGACAAGTCTTGGGAGTATCTAAGTCCTAAGTCTACTACTGTATGTAGGTAGGTATGTTTTGTTGATGATATCTGGTCAACGGACATTGAGTATCTTGTGTAGACAATTGTTCATAAATACTTGTATGTCTCTGATGATACTCGTAGTAGTTCTTGAAGTTTCAGCTCCATTCAATTGAACTGTCTTGACGTTCATATTGAAGATTGTGACTTTGATATTAATATTAGTTGGTTGACAGTTGTTTTGATTTCCATATATTCTTCAACTGTAGGAATATCCCATCTTATTTGACACATGTGACAATATAAAAAGTATCTGTTTTTGTGTACAAAAAATTATTTGTGTTAACTTCTCTTTTTTTTCCTTGTATGACCTAGTTTAATATCTTTGTGTGTGTGTGTGTGTGTGTGTGTGTGTGTGTAAGTATGTGCAACTTTTTCTCCAAGTTTCACTTTACATATCGGCTGGTTTTCTACTGTTATGATTCACGTTATAAATAAATCATCATTTGTGCTGTATGCTTTATTTGTCTGTTTTTTTGCCTTTTTAAAGAAAAAAACAATAAAAATAAATCTATGTTACTGTTAATGAAAATTCTTTCGAAGTACACATGATATGTAGGATATACTGTATATATGTGAATGCTTGTTTACAGATTGATCATATGACTGAAATTCTTTTTTTGTGTGGTCATTAATCATAACTATTTAGTTTATTCTATTAGTGTATTGTAGTACATATTTTACACGATGTATTGTATATTGGTTGAATAAATGTCAATGTATTTGTCGTGAAACAACATCCCACGATCGTTGTTGCTACCTTGACGTGGTGGTCGGGCTTGCCTATTGTGATGAAGCAACCGAGCTATACTTTCTGGAACAACCGTTCCTCAAGGTCCTACCATGTCAGACAGGTCGGTTGAAGAGCAGTAAGACTAAATGCAACAAACCTAAGGTCCGAAGGCGAAGTCGTACTGCTGACTGTACAGAGGTGTGACAACAGTAAGGTGTTTCCTTCAGACAACCAGCATGACAGCGACGCTGCCTTCCCACAAGGAGGGGTGGAGTTAGGAAAGGGTGATCCTAAAAATGCACACATCGCCTTATCCCACGGATATCCGTCTCTGGCGGTATGGTCTCAAGAAGTACAGAGCTAACACAAAAATTACTCATAAAAAGGTTGTGTGTGACCGACCTGAAGCAATTGTCCCTTGGGCACTGCGGTCATACTCTCAGGTCACTAAGACCACCTCTAATCCAATTTCCTTTTCAGGTACCTCCAGAAGAACCCTTTTACGGTGTGGGCAACCGGAAAGTGGTAATCGCCCTCATACCTCTAACAGCACTCAAGACCATTGAAACAACATCCATACAAGTATCCTATATAAAATAATATAGTTGATTTCAATTAGGAAAAAAATTACTCCATAAAGGATTGAGTACTTACAAAGAGATACTTAACGGCTAAAGCCCCTTGCATATATGGATAAAGCTCAAATAGTGGTAATAGATGAGATGGAATACAATTAATTGTACTATGACAACTAATTAAGTAAACCTGATTTCTTTATATCATTTTAATCCACTTAATTATCTAAACAACAACCGTTACTTTTAACTGATCTAGTCAGTTGGTTTATTTGAATATATGATGAACAATGAATTTCGTCAACAGAATCACACAAGCGTTCATAATTTTTTTTATTCTTAAAAACTTGATTTTATACATATTGTGACATAGTTAACTCATATCATTTATAAATATTGTCCGTATTCAACAAAATATTAACCGATCACAAGTGATATTATGGTCAATGAAATTATTTTGCTCTCACCTCAGATCCACTGACACACATATACAATTTGTTATCTTGACACACCACATATCTTGTAAGCACTACAGAAAATTCTTACTTTCAACCTTGTTAGATGTCCTATTTAGTAGTATACAGTTAACTGGAGAACTATTCACCTAATTATATTCGATAATTTTGATGTTTCATCATATTTCTTTGAAAAAGCTTCAACCAGATTACCGAGTGAAACGTTGGATCTATTTAAAATTCAATAGCTGAAATTTTTACAAAAATATAATTTCTCCTTCTTAATATCTTGTACGGGATCAGATATTTTGGTCTGTGAACGGGCACTAAAAATGAAGTTTGTGTACTCTGTTCATTGACTTTCCCACTAATATATTTGTAAAGAAAAGTAACTTCACAGTTATAACATTTCAATTGTTGATGGAATTAGTAGTTAAGTAATCGCTCAATTGTAGTTAGGAGTAAGTTATCATTCAATCTTCGAGCCGTACATGTTGTTTAATGTTCAAACTAGTGAACAATGTATTCAAACTCGGCTTCACTTATCGACATTTTGTATGTATTTAGTCTGTAGTTTACAAACATGTATATGTAGGTGTTACATGACTTTTCGCTCTTCATTATATAATTGAATAGGTTGCACTATTTCTTCTCAGATTTTTATCAGTTGATTACGCCTTTATGTCTTTTTTTTAAGACAGAAACGATACGTTAGTGTTCGAAGCACACGACTTACAAACACTAGGTCAAAAGTTCAAATAGCACTCCACTTGCCTTTGGGTTTAGACACCCTATTGGTATCATTAATCCTCATATAAATAATGTAATTCGAAACCAAGTTCGTAAAATCATATTTGGTAGGTGTATGGAACTGCTTTTAGATAAGTTAAACCCATTACTATCATGTAAGATAGTTGCTAAATATTTGTCTGTGGATATAACGAATCTAAACGTTAGTATACTTAGGCTTTAACATTTGAATTTATGGACTTTATCTAAATCTGTTGTAACGACTACTTACTCTAAGAATGTATTGATTGGGTAATAATTATTTAATGGATTAAATATCTAAATAAATTTACTGCTAATTAGTCTCTTAAAAAGTTTATGCTGATCTTAAAAAGTCTAAATTGCCTACCAATCTTGTGTTTTTGAGTATTCGATGACATGTACAACAGTGGAATGTAAAAAATCCTCTCGTACAACTGTAAAAACTGCTGAGAGAATTCGGTTTATTTTAATAATGCACCTATTTAATTGATTTTATGTTTATTTGTTAAGTTTACTTCTGATTTCCTCCTCCTTTTTTTGCTTTTTTCTTCTCTTAATTATCAATAGCTGTTTAGCTGAAATTGTTAGGCGTACGGAATTCGACGATATGCTTACTCAACGATCTGTATGTTATCTTAAAGAGGAAACTAATTTGAGAACTGAAGAATGTCGTCGACGGCGTATATTTTCTAAACATTTAAGTATGTTTTCTAAATGTCAACATATTATTAATACTATATTCTAGTACTTTGAATCATCCATTGATCTGTGAGCACATTGATCCCTAACTTGATTATCCCTGTCATACTTAAATTTTCTACCATATGTATCGAATAGATTTTTTTGCAATACCCAATTTTAGCCGCTACTTGTTTATGACTTATCAAATATCACGTGACAAGGTTGCCAATCTGAATACTGACATCTATGATCTTGTGCCTGTGTTCAACCAATAATGCGTCAAAACAGCACTAAAAGCCTTAAGTGAACTCATGGTCCTCATTGGTTTTCTGTACAGTAATTCTTCGCCTAGATCAGTCTAGAACACAAATATCAGGGCCAACTAATATGAATCGTATATTTCAGACATACGTGGTTTATATACAAGCAGACCAAACCTCATAGTGGGAATATAATTGATGGATGAAATTTGAAAGACGCTAAAGTGACCTTGATAATTTCCGCTTACTAACGAGGATTAAATGAGGTTTATAAACCAGTGAGAAGAATTAGAATTTTGATTCACAGTTGATGGTAAGGGTTAGGAATTAGATTTACGGTTTTCATCACAAACTGACATCAGCTAAAATTCAAAACTCTATTTAGTCAAATGGCTGAGTTTCGCGCCAAAAACCCGGGACCTGTTATTTTATATCTAATTGGGTCGTCCATAAGCTATAGTCTCACTGACCGCATCGCACCATAAAATGAAAAACTATAACCATACAAAATCAAGCCAAAAGCGGCTGTGAGTATGGATGATTGTAACTGATAAATCGGGAATAATTTGTGAATGAATTATCAAAGTATTTCAGTAGTAAAAGTAACTTTCTTTTGGAGATCTAGTTTTATTAACATTGGTCTGATCATAAGGTTGGTGTTAGCGGGATATAGACTGGATTAAAGCATGCTCAATGCACGATTGCTTTGGCGCACTCTGATTGGGTAATTCTTACCCAATCAGCGTTAGCCACTACTTAGTGACCACTCTAGAGATCTCCTCATGTGAAAAAACTATAAATATACTAACGTTTTCCCTATTGCGCTACTTACTTGCTTCTTACTTCCATCTAACCTTGTTATTTGGAATATAATCTCTTTCCTGTTCAACCGTATTCTGATTTAGGGACTTGTCGAGTAAATCGGTGTCCGAGAATATTAAGCAATAGGAATAGCTGGGTTATAACCGTAAGAGAGAATTATAACAGTTGGATTTTAAGCGCTACTCGTGATTGTGTAACGTAGTAATGGATTCGAATGCTCTTTTTCCAGTCAAATTTATTTTTGTTTACTAGATCTAATGGTAGTATTTTGTTGGATATTGATCAAGGTATATGCCTAAACCTTTAAATTAGCTTATCATTTAGTTAAAAAATCTTAACATTTTTGATACCACTCATCAAACAATTGTACTCATTTAATAATAATTTGAGAAACTTAGATCATATGTAACTTACCCCAGACTCCATATACTGAGACGTGTATTGTTAGCTGATGTGAGGGATCGGAAGAAGACTATCCATTGCTAAAGCCAGTTATGGCACCAGTTCATAAAGTCATTTGACTATTAGTCTCAACCATCTTAATACATTCAGACTACTTGGCTAGTGTTTGCGCTATAATCGTGACCAATGATTTGATGAGACTATGAGTGACACGACTCAGAATCTCGGTCGTAATAGCGTTCTACATTCACTCTTCGTCTACCGCTGAGACAAAATATTTTTTTCACCTTTTCACTCTTTTCTCTCAAATTATGCATCCTATTTTACTATCACTTCAATTTTTCCTATAACCATCGTAATTTCATGTGATATAATAACTTAGACTAATACACATTAATGCCATGTTGTGACATTGTTTTTATCTGATTTAGTCATTAAGTTATATGCATTGTAGACTCCCAATACTTATTCAAACACATTAACATTGATACTTGTGGGCATGCATCAGAAATATATGCATGGTGGTTTCCCTAAGGAGCCACTACCTGGGTATTTCACCTAGAAGTCTAATCGACAAGTCAGTGGAGCAATGTTGGGAGATGTAGTCTCATGGTAGTCGGTGACCAACAATACGTTCGTACACCATTCTTTTTTCAAGATAGTGGATTCCATGTTCACAATTGGTTTGGAATTGTGGTTTGGTAACTCCCCTAGTTGGATCCTCCGGGCATTCGCTTTTGGTCCTCTCAATTTCATAAATAACACCCCATTCACGAAAACGTAGTGAGTATGACTTCCCTGATAGAGTGGCTGTATATTCGTTATTATGTGAGAGGGAGATCAGACTCTACCCACTCTCAGCCGTACTAGGCTATTTTGAGGTACATGTACTAATAGTCTTAATTGTAAGAAGAAAATTAGGCATCGAATTTACAATTCGGGAAAAAATATAAACTTGTGAAATGAAAAGAGATTATGATGAATTTAGAAACTTGCGTTTTTATGGAAGGTAAAAAGTGAATGGCACATGCATCACTGCGAATGATTTGGATCTATATCATTCAAAGTCTCTGACCACTAGTTACGATAATCTCGTAAACCACAACTAATCAGTTTACGCCTACCTACATGGTTCATTCCCATGGTCACTTTTTTCATGGATTCGTATCATGTCTCGGTTTGTGCGTCATTCGCCTTCTACCAATATGCTCCTCCATCAGCTATCGTCTCTTGTCGAGTTATGATTAATTGGTTTTTGAACATTGTTAAAGTACCTAATAACAAATCGAATTTCATTTTAAAGCATAATTTTTTTCTTCTATCCCTAGAAAATAACGTTCTACATTCACTCTTTTCACCATGGACTAGTTCAAAAGCGGAATATCTCGGGGTAAATGATCACTTGCTTTATTGTTTAATTCGTTTCTCCGGTATATTGCAGTTTTCATGTATTGTTATGTTTTAACTGTGAATCGAACTTTGTTTGTTTAAGTGTTTATGTGTTTATGTATATGTTTGAAAGCTCTCAATTTTATTTACTCGACTAAAGTGAAGTGCACATCATATCTCAAAGTTCACATCTGATCTGATCAGTAGTATTGTTCATAAATCATAGAATTTTTAGCAAATAAATTGTTAATCAATGCATTTTATGAATTCATGCAGTACTGTTGTTTTGCCTTGATAAAATTGACTTTAGAATGTTCAAAGTTGGTAATGGAATTAACACTTCAAAATATATGTTATGTTAGCTTACAAAAGAGATATATTTGTATGTTCATTTGATATATTTATTATATGCTTGATTTAGTGACTGTTCTTAAATTCGATAATGAAGTTACTATTCGTTACTTTTGACATTCAAATTCTTATCTACTTGTTGTAATCAGTTGTTATACAATAGCTATTTGATTACCGTTACCTTAATGGTCTGATTTTGTATAGGTTGTTTTAAAATGTAGAAAGCATTGATCATGGATCTCTTTCACTTGAGGTACTGTTAGTCAACACACTAGGAACTTCAAAATGAATAACATTTGATGTTTGTCACTCAATGTCACATATTGATTAGAGTTGAGTTTGTTCACCTGGACGCGAATGGTGAAGCTCCTTTTTTTGCCTAACTAGAAGGTTATGAATTTGATTCTTAGTAGTGTCATGCAATGCACATTGCTATGGAGTCCCATATTTCTAGTTCCCCCTGATTTTCAGCTATACTTTAACTGAGACCAACTCGTGATGAATACCGTCTGCAGAATAATATAATTTGTTTTTTTAGATCCACATAATCGATTCTTGTCTATTTTGATGTTTATCACGTAACTTCACTTTATCTATTATTCTTATCATTATCTGTTCATGTGTATAGCTTACCAATATACCAGGAACAATTTCTATGTCACAAGATGTAGTTGAACAGCAAATGTGTGAAACATCTACTACCACCACCATTACTACTACTACTACTACTACTACCACTATGACTACTACTACATCTAATCAAAAAGTCGATTCACTTTCACATAGTCCTCAAACAAACACAGCAGAATTCACAGTGAATCGACGATATGCCTTATCTTCTTTATCTGAACCACGTTTAAATGAATTAGCCAAAGCTTGTGCATTGAATCGTGTACAACATTCGCGTGTTCGTTCAACTCGATTAAATTCACTCAGTTCACCAGATCCTCAGTTGACTAAAGTTAAAGAAGATGAAGTGATTGAATCGGATCAAAGTAAAAAACGTTCAAATTACAATTGTCCTATACAACATCAACCAGTTCTGTTACGTCCACCACATACTAAAGTAATGCTTGATGCTAATCGTCGTGCTTCAATGCCATTTGATGAATCTGATCGAGGTGAATTATCCAGTCTATCAAATTGGTCAGTTGATTCGTCATCATTATTAGGTATATTATCGAATAATTTCTATCAAACTGATCATCATAATCTATCGAATATAACACAATCAGTTAAAATTACTCGTGATGATTTAGAAAGGTTAATGCAATCTATGCCTACTAATATATCTAATTTATTAAGGATGGAATTGAATAAATCGTTTTCACTATTTAAAAATACTTCTTTTCTACCTAATTCATCTTTGACCAATCCGAGTGGGAGTGTTTCTTTAGATCAAACATCCAATATTGCTAACAGTACCGGTTTTATCTGTAGTAATAGTAGTAGTCCATTATCAAATTTAAAATCAACTATCATGACGCCAACAACAACTGCCAAAATATCCATATCTACAATGATAACTAGTACACAAATTAATATGCCTGAAACAAAATCTATTACAACCTCTCCATTTAGTAGTTTAGAGAATATATCAACAAGAGATTTTATGAATGTTGGTTGTCAAGCTGAATTCGGTTTAATTGGACCAATTCTAAATGTTGGATCTGGTCGAAGCTTGAATTCTAGCCTTGGATTATCTGTTGATGAGTAAGCGTTTTACCTTATTTTGTTTTGTTATTCAGACTCATCTGAATTTTACCAACTAATTTATTATGTATACATAACTTTTATTATTATTATTAAATAAACTATCCTTTTCAAAGATACAGTAAACAGTTCTTTCTTTATAAGCGAAGATGGATGGTGGCCAGCAGTGGAATCTAGAACACGCGTTTCGTCCTATTTGGGACTGCTCTGTTCAATGCTTATAATGCTTGTGACCTAAGGCGATATCGAGGCAATCCACATGGGATGCACATATGCCAATAAGAGACTGATCAATTGCATTCCTAAATATCAACGGAAAGATTCAAACAAACAATATTAAAAAAAAAATTTACTCCTTTCTTTATGCAATGAAAATTTCTTCAAAAGTATAAACGTTAACTAAATTACACAATATTAATTTATCTGTTGACCAATATCACAATTAGATAGATATAATGACATAATTCATAATTGTCATTTCTCCTTTGTTTTATCTGGGTTTTTTTATAAGGACAATTGATTCAATGAAACAAAAGAACATATTCTTTAATTGGTTCAATCATTTATAAAACAACGTAGAGATAAGTATATATTTGTATTCATTCATGTTCCCATACCACATCAGTCAGTCGGTAACAACGTAGAACTTCGTACGTACGTACATCAGTTCGAGTTGCCATACCACATTAGCACACAGATAAAATTGTCAAGTCAATTCCCGTAGTATTAGAGGTAGTAAAAGTATGAGCAGTAATCTGAAAGATCAAGGTTTGAAGATGTTATTTAAAGAGTATAATCCAGTGAAATAAATTTGGAAAGAGAAAGAAAAGACACAAGGAGAATCTAGAAGATTAAAATATAGGAGAACAGAAAGAGTGGTTGCATCTGAGCCATGGCAAACGAATTTGAGCCATGTTATTCAAGGTCTCTAACCATCGGTTGCTATCATCTCGCGGTCCCCAACCAGGTAGTCTATACTTACTAACATGGCTCAGTTCACTTGTCAGTGACTTCATGGATTTGAGTCATGTTTTAGTCTGGCAGTCCCTAGCTTTCTTCCAACCTACTCCTACATCATAAAACATCGCACGTCGAAGTAGTCGGTGGTTGGGCATACGTAACATGTGTCCCAGCCATCTCAACTGATGAACTTTCACTACTTCATCAATTGATTTGCCATCCTTACCTAGTACCCGTTTCCTAACAACTGTGTTACTTACTCGATGGTCTCAGGATACACGAGCAATGTTTCGAAGACACCTATGATCGAATACTAGTAACCTACGAATATCCTCTAGTCTTACCGTCCATGTTTCACTGCCATAAAGAAGGACGGGACGAACTGATGCGTAGTAAATACGTCCTTTGGTTGATAGACGGATATCTCGCCTACGCCATAAATGACGCAAGTTGGCAAAAGCTAGTCGAGCCTTCTGTATCCGTTCTGAGATTTCGTCACACACCAGACCACAAGGGCTGATGAGACTTCCAAGATAAGTGAAGCGGTCGACACGCTCAATTACTTCACTCCCTATCATTAGTTCGGGTTTCGATGTAACCCAATCCTGAAGCAACATTTTACTTTTCGAGGGAGAGAATCACATCCCGAACATGTTTGCACTGTTGCTTAGAGTGGTCAGAAGACTCTGCATTTTGTCAGGGTCTTCACCAAATAGAACTATGTCATCTGCATATTCTAAGTCAACAAGTGAACCTCCCGGTAGAAGTTGAACCCCTGGAAATTTAGATGAGAAGAGTGTTATCTCTAAAAGTACGTCGACCACAAAGTTGAACAAGAATGGGGAGAGTGGACAACCCTGACGAACACCACTTGATGTAATCAATTCTGATGACAGTTCGCCATAAGCTCTCACTCTACCAGTTGTGTTCGAGTAGAGAGCCTGTAAAAGGTTAATGTACTTCTTTGGTACTCCTTTCAGTGACAAACAGTGCCATAGAACCTCACGATCAACAGAGTCGAATGCCGCCTTAAGGTCGAGAAATACTACCATTGTGGTGCGTCTGAATGTGTATCTGTGTTCTAGAACCTGACGTAGTGTGAATATCTGATCTATACAACCACGTCCAGGTCGAAAACCGGCCTGGTTTCCTCTAATCTGCTCTTCACGAGCTTTGATTAGGCGTCGAAGTATTATTGAGGCTAATATTTTAGACACTATATTTGTCCAAGTGATTGCTCTGTGATTGTCACAAGAGGACTTTTGTTCTTTCTTATAAACTGGCACAATCAGTGATTGAGACCAGTCAGATGGGATTACGTCCAGTTCCCAAATTCTACCTAAGACTTCGCTTAATCTCACTGCTAATACTGAACCACCGTCCTTAAAAATCTCAGGAGTAAACCTGTCAGGGCCTGCTGCTCTCTTTCGCTTCAGATTTCCTATGGCTTTTTCAACTTCGTAGAGAGACGGAGGACCTACATTAACTTGCCATTCAGGTTGACTGGAGATCGTAGGGAACGGAAGTGTGGCTGAAGGCCAGTTGAACTGATCCCTGAAGTGTTCTGTCCATCGATCCAATCTCCTGGATTGAGAATGTATATGTCCATCTTACTCTGAGAGTGTTTCGCTAACAGTCGGTTTCCGAATACCGGTTTCCTTAACAGGTCTGAACAATTGTCTGCTATTACCTATTGCCACTGCCTTTTCCATCTCTCTTGCTTTTGCTACCCACCACTGTTCGCGATCATTGCGTAGACTTCTTGTCAGCTTGTGCTTAAGCTGACTCCGCTCCTCATTATGTCCAGAGCCAGGTGGAATGAGTTTCCGAGCATCTAAGAGTGCGATAGATGCTGCTGAGATCCAGTGTTGCTCCCTAACCTTACAGGTTACCGTACTTGCAGATATCATTGCTGTTTCCACAGCTTTTCGGATATCATTCCATGCTGCCTCAAGGTGGACATCACATACATGGCTGCCTAACTGTTTTCCTAGTTGTTCCTGAAATATACTCTTAGCTTGACTATCATTAAGTAGGGCACTAAGAGGTTTCCTTGCAGCGTCTTTCCTACGTCCAGTAAGACGCAAGCAAATACGCGCTCGCACTAGAGCATGATCTGAATCTAAGCATGTGCTCCAGAATGAGCGACAGTCTTCTATCGAGCCCCTCCATCGGTGGCTGGTAGCGATGTGATCTATTTGGGTCCAACGTTGGGACGAATTAGGGGGCCGCCATGTTAAAAGATGTTTTTCCTAATGCTTAAAGTTAGTATTTGCAAGAAAGAGGTGGTTATCTGAGCATAGCTGCAACAGACGGTCACCATTATCTGTTCTTTGAGCCACGACACTATAAGATCCACCTAGGTGTCTTTCCCTATCGCTTAGTTTACCTACTTGAGCATTAAAGTCACCGGCCATTATTACTACATCAGAGCGCCTAGCTTTTCGGAGAAGGTCGGAGAGCTTTCTGTAAAACTCTTCTTTTGCATCATCTGAGCTGTAGTCAGTGGGGAATAGGCAGAGACGACGAAGAGGCAACGACGAGTGTCCCTATCTTTCCGGATTCTTACTGTTCCGTTCAGTCGGACAGCGCACAAACGACTGTCTACTGGGATCCACTCTAATAGAGCTAGTTCTTCCCTAGGACTTAATGCTATACCTACGCCGGCGCTGCCACGGGAAGCAGAATATGGGCTTTCAGATACACGAAGTGTGAATCGAGTCGGTTCTTTTTTTTGGCATGGTGAGGTCAGATGAATGACGCTACTTGGATCCTGTATGCGCGTTTCGTAGACGCAGCACACATCGATGGCGCGGGATTCTAAAGTCCTAGCTAAGGAAGCCTGCTGTCCTATTTGGCACAGTGTTCGGACGTTAAAAGCTCCTACGTGTAGTTTAGAGCGTGGTTTCGGGAGACCAGGAATAACGTTCCGCGTACTCGAATCGTTTGCCCTAGCGATGCGAGGTGATAAAGAGACGTGAAGAGGGTTAGTCATGGAGATAGGAGAGGTATTAGGAGGTGTAGGAAGGATTTGAATGTGACCAACTTGGTCTCGTGTGCTGTTACGGGTATGAGAGCTGGTGTCACTTCCCGGCTGCCCACACCGTGGAAGGTTATTTCTTGAGGAACCTGAAAAGGAAATTGGATTAGTGTTGGTCTTGACGACCTGGGAGCGTGACCGCAGAGTCCAAGGGACAACTGCTTGAGGCCGGTCGCGCACGGTCTTTTTATGGGAGGTTTCTGACGTGTTAGCTCCGTTCTTCAAAGGGCCTTACCGCCGGAGACGGAAATTCGTGAGGTAAGGTGAGGTGTGACATTTTTAGGGTCGACCTTTTCTAACCCCTTCCTTCCTTGTGGGAAGGCAGCATCGCTGCAGGTGCTGGTTGTCCGAGGGAAACACCTTACTGCTGTCACACACCTCTACAGTCAGCAGTACGACCTCTCCCTCAGACCTTGAGTTGCTGCTTTTAGTCTTACCGTTCTCCAATCGACCTGCTTGGCATGGTAGAACCTACCGGAACATATGTTCCAGCCAATATAGCTCGGTTGGGTCATCACGATAGGCAAGCCCGACCACCGCGTCAAAGTAGCAGCTTTGGTTTGCATAGGATTGATTGCAGTGATTTTGTCGGTTTGTGTGCCACACCTCTCCTGAAGGTTTTCAGCAGTCTGGTTGCGGATTCTGATATTCCTTGTATGTACGGTAGGGTGATCCTTTTGTTGATTTTTGTGCTTGACTTGGGTTTTGATGCTGCGTGCGGTTGGTGTTTTTGATGAAGTTGATTGGGTAGCCGTTCTTTTGAAATATGTCCTTCAGGTATTTCTCTTCATTTTTTCGTGCTGACAAATCAAACATCATCTACAAAATAAATTGTACCAACTGCGACAAACACTACATCGGACAAAGCGGACGCCCCCTCCACCTTTGCCTACATGAATATCAATTAGCAGTCAAACGCCATGATATCTCTTCACTTATATCAATACATGTGGATAACTACGGACACTCATTCGATTGGAAAAATGTGGAAATCTTAGACAGAGGAAACTCCAAAAACACCAGAGAATTTTTAGAAGCCTGGCACTCAGGTCAATCAGCAATCAACAAACATATTGAAATCAATCCAATTTATCAACCAATCAGGAAAATCATGCATAAATATAGGACCAAAAATCAAACCAATGGGAGATATAACCAAAAACAAAGAGGTAAACAATGATAAATTTAAGGTCAATGAGAACCAATCAACATCGAGGTGCACAGAACAAGCTGTGAAACACATATGGAGAAATTCACACACTTCACTTCTATCCGAAGTTTGTGCTGATGATGACGTTCAGAACAACGATGAAAGCTGCACGACCAAACCATGCAGCTCAGAGAACAAAACTCCACCGAAAACTGTTTTTGTAACTTGTACAGAAAAAGGTCGTAGACTGGGTTCAAGTTCCTGTGTGAATACCAACTCTGGAATGCAGGTTTATTATATGAAGAGTATCAAATAGGATGAAATGTGTTCCTAGATCACACCGGTAACTATATTCTATCTGTTCTATATTTCAGTTTTAACTCACCCATACGAAGGAATAATAGTGGCAACTAATTTTTTGTTTTAACGTGAATTTTTGAAAATATGAACCGAATAACTTGTGATTACATTTTTATTTAACCTCTTTATGAGAACGTGATTTACCATTCGCTAGTTTTCAACTTCTAATCCAATATTTCCTATTTTTTTCTCAGTTCAGTACGTCGTACTACAATTCATACAGTTAATAATATTCATACAGGCTGGGAAGAACTTCCAGGAAGTTTATGTAGTTGGGAATTATGTCGTTTTCCTCCTGTGGCAGTACGTTCAGGTGATCGTATGTCAATTTCTTTGAATACGTTACCACGTTTTGAACATTTAGTGACTACTGGTACACAAACTGAAGAACAATTGGAATTTCCAGAATCTCATAATACATCTTATTCTCCTGTTAAACCTATAAGTACGGAAGAATTATGCTTACAAAATAGTGCGGCACACAGAAAAGTATGTCCTTTCTTTCCAAGAAGTATTATCTTCACGTATTAATGTGAATTAGTATCTTACCCTCTCCTTCCACAAATGATTAAACATCAATAGCAACCAAGTCATTTAATCTACATTTAATACTAAATAACCATACTTCAGCTGTAATTTCTCTATTGTTTTAATGAAAATGAGAAGATTATGGTTTTTGACAAAAAAACACTTATCAATCTATAGTGTATTTGGTAGTCAGGAAAACTAAATGCGAACAGCGACAGTTGGATATTCATTCTGCGACGAAACTACGAACAGCAGTTTCGATCACAATATTCTGTATTGTCACAAACTCGAATAATCGTATACAGAATCTTGGATACACAAATGTGTATTTATATTCATTTGGTTTTGGGAAGGGATTTGCGAGATCTAGGATTAATCAATAAAACTAGGAAGTAAACCTTATCGTCTGGTCACCTATTTTCACATAATTCTCTCAGATTATCCATCACCGGATTTAATCAAGAAGTCTCTAATCCATTCTGTTAACATTGTCGATTTTTTTAAAATAACGACTAATGTCATACTGTAAATCTGTGATTGATTTATAGACAATATCAACAATGTAAATTTAGAAACATTAAACAATACAACAGAGTAAAAAAGAATACACTGATTTTGCTCACATCATGAAGTGCATATTATTATTTATTTATTTTCACAGTTGAATTCTCTAGTCGATCTAAGCTAGCCCATCCAGTGCTTCCAGGTTTTTAATGATTGTCGTGCTTAGGTCGACTCATGAATTGAACTTAAAACAATCATGTTCTCACTAGTGACTAGCTTCAAGATAGAACTCCTGGAATTGTACTGAGAAGCCGTGATCAATGGGGTCCGATCCATATCAGGCATGAGACAGTTGTCTACCTCAAACAATGGCTGAAGTTTTGTGCAAGATCACAGATAGATTGAAGTGATCTCGAGATTAAGGATTGGCGCGTGAGACCGAAGGTCCTGTGTTTGAGTCACGCGTATGTGGTCGTGGATGCTCACTGCTAAGGAAGTTCCATGTCATAGTGAAATGTCCGTCCAAGTTTTCAATAGTGGTCTAGATTAAATTGACTCGTGAATTGAACTGTGAAAATTCCACAATCTCCACAAATCCTCATACTGATTTATTCATTATTTAGAGCTAAAAAAACATTAATACTGAAACAAAAAGCACAGACCAATTGAAATCTTCTCTTAGAAGTTTAATTGTCAGCTATATCCTATCGGTTATGTGAAATGTAACGTTAATTAATTGTGAATAAGTTAGTTTCAGTTTGAATTATTTTTAACGATAACATTTAAAACCTATGAAGTTGACTAGTATAGGTTGTTTTTTGTTCGTTTGAAATCTAATTCACAATATCATTTCTTTCAAGAATATAATTACATCATGGATGAAATTTTCGTTAAGGTATAATTTTCTGATAACTGCGCTCCAATTATATAAATGAGTTATTGGCACCATACCACATATGATTAGAAAGTTGTTCAGTAGATCTTTAATTTATGAGAACTTGGATGCCGAGTTAATAGTAAACATTAAGGCGGAGAAATTATATTTTTGTAAAAATTTCAGCTATTGAATTTTAAATAGATCCAACGTTTCACTCGGTAATCTGGTTGAAGCTTTTTCAAAGAAATATGATGAAACATCAAAATTATCGAATATAATTAGGTGAATAGTTCTCCAGTTAACTGTATACTACTAAATAGGACATCTAACAAGGTTGAAAGTAAGAATTTTCTGTAGTGCTTACAAGAGATGTGGTGTGTAAAGGAAAGTGTGTTAAGATAACAAATTGTTTGTATTCGTAAATGAAGTATTTATCAATTTTTTAAAAGGTTCATTAAATGGTATAGATTTCGAATGACTTAATTATTTTCTGGTCTTTTGTAGTCTTCTTTGACTACAAAAAATATACAAAGAAGATTCGATAACAGTTTCCTCAGGAGTTGAACTTCTACCGAGAGATTCACTTTTTGACTTAGAATATGCCGATGACATAGTTCTATTTGGTGAAGACGCTGACAAAATGCAGAGTCTTCTGACCACTCTAGGCAACAATGCAAGCATGTTCGGGGTGTGATTCTCCCCCTCGAAATGCAAAATGTTGCTTCAGAATTGGGTTGCATCGAAACCCGAACTAATGATAGGGAGTGAAGTAATTGAGCGTGTCGACCGCTTCACTTATCTTGGAAGTCTCATCAGCCCTTGTGGTCTGGTGTGTGACGAAATCTCAGCACGGATACAGAAGGCTCGACTAGCTTTTGCCAACTTGCGTCATTTATGGCGTAGGCGAGATATCCATCTATCAACCAAAGGACGTGTTTACTACGCATCAGTTCGTCCCGTCCTTCTTTATGGCAGTGAAACATGGCCGGTAAGACTAGAGGATATTCGTAGGTTACTAGTATTCGATCATAGGTGTCTTCGAAGCATTGCTCGTATATCATGGGACCACCGAGTAAGTAATGAAGTTGTTAGGAAACGGGTACTCACCAGCCTCCAAATGCCCTGTTATGGCCGAGAGTGGGGTGGGCGGTCCTTCCCTCTCGAAATGCTCTCACACGTACACGCGTACACAGCCTCTGCCAGGGAAGTCCTACTCACTACCTTCTCGTAGCTGGAGTGTTGTTTACGAGAATGTGAGGACGAAAAGCGAATATCAGGCGCATTAACCGGATTCCAAACCAATGGTGCACATGGGCTCCAGCATTCTGCGGGATCAAATGGCGTATGAACCAATAGTTGGTCACCAGCTGCCATGGGACTGCTTCTTTTTACGATGCTCCACTGCCTTGTGGGTCAGACCTTTAGGTCAAAGACTCGGGGAGTGGCCCCCTAAGAAAACCACCTTCTTCGGTTTGGGCACCCGGGCAGTATCACAGCCTACACACTAATATGATAGTGTGGCGCATATAAATTTGATGCCCTCTTGTACCAATATTTATGTGTTCAAATAATAATAATAAATACTAGGTAGTGATGACAAATTAATTGATGAAGTAGTGAAAGTTCATCAGTTGAGATGGCTAGGACACATGTTACGTATGCCCAACCACCGACTACTTCGACGTGCGATGTTTTATGATGTAGGAGTAGGCTGGAAGAAAGCTAGGGACTGCCAGACTAAAACATGACTCAAATCCATGAAGTCACTGACAAGTGAACTGAGCCATGTTAGTAAGTATAGACTACCTGGTTGGGGACCGCGAGATGATAGCAACCGATGGTTAGAGACCTTGAATAACATGGCTCAAATTCGTTTGCCATGGCTCAGATGCAACCACTCTTTCTATTCTCCTATATTTTAATCTTCTAGATTCTCCTTGTGTCTTTTCTTTCTCTTTCCAAATTTATTTCACTAGATTATGCTCTTTAAATAACATCTTCAAACCTTGATCTTTCAGATTACTGCTCATACTTTTACTACCTCTAATACTACGGGAATTGACTTGACAATTTTATCTGTGTGCTAATGTGGTATGGCAACTCGAACTGATGTACGTACGTACGAAGTTCTACGTTGTTACTAACTCACTGACGATGTAAGTATTTAATGGTAGATGCTTTCCAGAACATTGGTAACATATGTTGGAATGAGTTAGGGAGCATTACAGTTAGGGGTTAGGCGTCGACCACAAGTTAAAAAGAGCAAGTTAATTATTTAGAATTAGCAACCTTTTCTAAACTCATTTGTTTAGCGTATGTATTATGTATGCCTGATTACACTATATATACTGACAGGAGCACGTATTTATAATTATTTAGAAGTAGAAGAATCAAGATGTGTTATTGATTCATTAATTTAATAACCCCCTGTTTGCGCCACATCGACAGACTTAAGTTTCTTAGTTGAGGTTTACGATATGTATTATAAAGGGTTTGTTAGTTCACGTCTGATTAATAAGTAGTGATCAATGCCAGTAGTCCACAGGAAACCCCACCTGCAGTTTCTGTGTTATTGTTCAACATTGCTCTTCATTATCATAAAAACTCATATTTCAAAGGAACATACAAGTGTACTACATTTTGGTCTCAATGGAACTAGTTGTTTATTCATTTTCTATTTTTTTAAATTCAATAAAAGAATTCAACTACATATGAGAATGACGACAATATCGTTGATTATCATCATCCTCAAACACTTCAAACACCTACCACTACTACTACTACCACTAGTACTATTGTTAATCAACATTCATCTTCGTCATCATCGTCGTCACCGCCGTTTACAATTCACAATGATGAAATTAATGAAGACAATATTATTATATCATCAATATTTGCTGAAGATAATTTATTCACTGACTCTGCTCTAATGATGACTTCAAGTTTTCATTCAACAAAAACAACCTTTTCCAATAGTATTATTAATAATAATAATACTGATATTAGTAATAATAATACATCTTCATTACAAATGCATACACCTTTCATGTCAATGCATAATCAAAGTCGATCCATGTCTTCTAGTAATTTATGTGATTTAACAAATGCTACTGACATTTGTGGTAGCGAAAGTACAGCAACACAATATGATTCAATGATATACGATGATGGTAAATTTTGTACATTTTAATTAAAATTCATATTGTCCAATAGAATATGAATTGTATTGTAATGATATTTAGTTTAATTTGTATACATTGTAATGTATGCATCATAGGTTTGATCTTCATTGCTAGAGTGTTAATGAAAACTAGTAAGTTGTTTTGTCTTTAGTATTTAGAGCTTCTCGGTAATGTCCACTTTAATTACAGCTCCATTAGTAATCGACCCTGAAAGTTTCACGTTTTGATCAGTGAGTGGTATTAAATTAACATCCGACTAGTTGACTACTGATTGTTTGATTGTGATCGATCTTTCTTGTACGATTTGATAAATTAGGCTTGTGATTCTAATTGATTGGAATGGTGTGCCTATAGAACTTTCTTCGACAATTTATCAATTCTATGGTAAAGTAGACAAAATGACTTGGTCTCATCTTGCTTTATTGTTGATGATAGATTGTGGTAGATGATGAGTTGGTCATATTTCATAGTTGATGATTGAAATAATATGGAAAAAAGAATTATCTTTTTTTGAATGGCCGATTACTTCATAATATTTCAATCTGTATTGTGGACTGCTCACTAACTTTTAGAATGGCATTCAAGTCTAGATCATTTCATTGGATCCTCGAATACTGCTTTTCACGCTTACATTTATATGGGTAGCTTAGTAGTGTATCACTAAGGTTACCGTAGCTGCTATTTCGATGTGGTGGTCGGGATGGCATATCGTGATGACAGTAAGGCTAAAGTCAGCAACTGTGAGTTCCGAAATTGAAGTCGTGCTTCTGATTGCACAGATGTCTGAGGGTGATTAGGTGTTCTGAAACAGTCGGCATCTCTAGAGACAATGATTTCACATAAGAGAATGAAGAGGTTAGAAAATATCATCTGTGAAAACAATATACCTAACCCTGCCTCATGAATGTTTGTCACCACTGGTATGGTCTTAATAGTACGGGGTTAGCTCATCTAGAACTTCTCACAAAAAGACCATATGTAATTGACTTTAAGAAGTTGTTTATAGGACCATTCGGCCATTCTTCCGGATCGTCAAGATCCACTCATAATTCAACTTCTTTTGGACGTAATCCAAACAGTAGTATCCTTTTACACTATGAGCAACTGGAAATCGACAACTGCTGTAATATCTCTAGTAGCAGTCAAGATTATATCTTCTTACTAATCCTCATACATCTACACATTCAATAAATAGTGTAGTACAATGTCATACACTTAAATCTGTATTTTAGTATGATTTCAATCTTTATGAAAATTCCAGTTACTGTTTAATCTGCTTTTTGTTTTAATCAGAAATAACACTTGAATAGTATATTTGTCAATACTCATCTTCAATTTATTCCTATATTTAATAAGTTAATCTGTTTTGATATTGTTTTGTTTTTCTCTACAATATACATATTCATTCATACAATACAATAATATACAAGATATGAAAACTTCTCGTGATGTTCTCCTTTTAAAATCATCATCATTACCGGAAGTAAAATTACACAAGTTCATTGAACAACAAAATCAAATTACATCATTTACATTATTAGATCATAATTGTTTCAAATGTCGTTTAAAACGTATTCATCAAGAATATTTTCAATTACTTCAAGAAAGTTTAAAATTAATCAATAATAATTGTCATGATCATACTGATCATTATCAATTACAACGAAGTACTTCTGAAATTGTAATTGATAATAATAAATCATCAACAACTGAAATAAACCAATCTAAATCAATTTCATTAGATGCAATACAATTAAAATGTCTTTTCAATGTAAGTTTTAGTTCTATCCTTTCATAAATAAATTTTAGATTTGTTAAAATTGATTGTATATATATCTACTACTGGACAACTACGTCTTCTATTTTTTAGATACTCTACAAAAGTTCAACACTAATCATCTCACAAGGAGATCAAACTCATGAACTTTAGTGTATTTTTTTGTTGTTGCTGGGTGTAGGTTTCATTAACCACACTTTCAACCTTACTAATTTAGCTTCGGTTAGGACCAGCAGTAATTCTTGGAAATGCTCTAGGTGACGTTTCGTGAACTGTAACAACCGTATAAAAAATTTTACATGTAGATTTAATTAATCGTAGCCAATTATTAGACTTCATACAATCATCGATGTCTTCGTTCAGTGAGTCAGTAACAACTTGGAACTTTGTACGTACGTACATCAGTTCGAGTTGCCATACCACATTAGCACACAGATACAATTGTCAAGTCAATTCCCGTAGTATTAGAGGTAGTAAAAGTATGAGCAGTAATCTGAATGATTAAGGTTTGAAGATGTTATTTAAAGAGCATAATCCAGTGAAATAAATTTGGAAAGAGAAAGAAAAGACACAAGGAGAATCTAGAAGATTAAAATATAGGAGAACAGAAAGAGTGGTTGCATCTGAGCCATGGCAAACGAATTTGAGCCATGTTATTCAAGGTCTCTAACCATCGGTTGCTATCATCTCGCGGTCCCCAACCAGGTAGTCTATACTTACTAACATGGCTCAGTTCACTTGTCAGTGACTTCATGGATTTGAGTCATGTTTTAGTCTGGCAGTCCCTAGCTTTCTTCCAGCCTACTCCTACAACATAAAACATCGCACGTCGTGGCAGTCGGTGGTTGGGCATACGTAACACATGTCTTACCTGTCTCTTACTATCAACCTGGTTGACTTTACACGTTAAAAATTCTGGCACACAAATAATGTCTAAAATTGCATCTTAAAACTAATCACCTTACTTACTTACACCTGTTACCCCTCGTAGAAAAGTATGGTCTGCACACCAACATTTTCCATCCAACTGTGTCCTGATCAACCCTTGCCGGTTGTTATTCATCCTTTTGATGTCTGCTTTCACTTCCTAACGTAGTGTGTTCTTTAGCCTTCCTCTTTTCTGTTTCCCTTCAGAATTCCAAGTTAGCACTTGCCTCGTGTTACAGTCTGGTGATTTCCTCAATGTATCCTCAATCTCTCCACTTCCCTCGTCTTTTTCCTAATTTCCTCTTGTTTTGAAAGCTGGTATATTTTCTTCCACATTAGTCAGTCAGTCAGCTACAACGTAGGACCAGGCACATATGTGCATCGTTCCAGGTTGCCATACCTCATTAGCACAGCAAGATGAACAGCGGATTCATAGGAGTGGTTAGGTCAAAGGTGGTAATATATAGGAGAAAGATTGAAATAAGGATATAGTATAGGAAGAAAGAATTAGTTCGTAGACAGAAAGATATGAAGTGATTTTAATCTCTTAGTTTAAGGGAAGACAGGGAGTGTATACACCGACGCCATTGTGATCGATTCTGAGCCATGTCACCAAGAGTCTCCAATCATTGGTTACGATTGTCACGCGGACCCCAACCAAGTAGTTTGCATCTACCAACATGGCTCAGACTAGAAGTTAGTGACTTCAAGCACTGATGCCACGTTTTGGTTTGGCCACCCCTAACTTTCTTCCAACCATCCCCTACACCGGTTAGCATTGCACGTCGTGGTAATCGGTGTTCAGGCATACGTAATACGTGGCCCAACCATCTCAGTCGATGAAGATTCATAACCTCATCAACTGATTTACCATCATTTCTTAATACCCTGCGTCTAACCACACTATTACTTACCCGGTGATCCCAGCAGATGCCAGCAATATTTCTAAGGCATCTGTGGTCAAATACTAGTAGCTTACGGGTGTCTTCTACTCTTAAGGGCCATGTCTCGCTGCCGTAAATTAAAACAGAACGAACTGCCGCGCAGTATACTCGTCCTTTTATTGATAGACGGATATCTCGCTTCCGCCAAAGGTGACGTAAGTTGGCAAAAGCCAAACGAGCCTTTCGAATCCGTGCTGAGATTTCGTCAGACACCAACCCATTAGGGCTGATCAGACTTCCAAGATAAGTGAAGTTGTCAACGCGTCCGACCACTTCACTCCCTATCCTTAGTTCAGGTGTTGACGCAGACCAGTCCTGAAGCAACAACTTGCATTTAGAGGGAGAGAAGCGCATCCCACATTAGGTTGTTGCTGATGATATCGGATCAACGAACATCGAGTATCTTATGTAGAAAATTTTTTTATAAATGCTTGTATGCTTTTGATGATGATTGTGGTAGTTCTCCAAGTTTCCCTAGTGAATATAAAATTATCATTACTATTTTATTAGTGTTCATGAAGATTTTGCTTTGCGAACATTCGCAATCAACTTAGTTTATTTAGAAGGACTTATAAGAATCAAGATTGTACTGTATTGCCGTTTCATTCACTAATGATTGTCAGGTCATGATGAGATGCAAAATGTTGTAAATCATTTATCTTGTATTAATATCGTCTATTTACTATAGATTATAGATTTGAAACTGAAATAGAACAATTATTTTAAATACATTTAACTCGACTGAATATAATACATCCTTGATATATATATATATATATATATATATATATATATATATATATATATATATATCACAGATTGAAATCATGAGTCAGTTGAAAACCTGGAAGCTCTGGACGGTCGTTTCGTCCAAGTATGGGACTCCTCAGCAGTGCGCATCCACGATTCCGCACCCCGCGAGATTCGAACCCAGGACCTATCAGGTTTTCCATGGTGGTCTAACTTCAATTGACTCATGATTTCAATCTGTGAAATTTCTAAAATCTCCACAAACCCCTTCTGATATATATTGTGCACATTGAAACAAAAACTCAACACTCTTCAATTGAAATCCTTCCATAATTTATCCATTGAACTTTTGAATCCAGGTAGTTATTAACTTGTTCAATGTGTAAGATCATATTTGTAAAGATTTGTATTTTACTGTGATTGAAAATTCACGATTGTTGGACAATATACCAGACATTTATATCTATAATCTTATGAGAAATTGGATTGAAATGTACTGACACTAACATGTCATCGCCTTCATTGCTAATCATCATCCACCTTTACCAATAACAATAACAACAAAAAAAAACAATTCATGAAATTTGAATAATACAATGAAGAAGATGAAGGTTATTAGAGTTATGTGATTTATATGCAGAACGCATTTCAAACAATCTAACCATATACATGTACTTGTTAACACATCTGATATATGAAAAAAATAAAAGGTCAATTAGACAAATTAAAATGTAAACAGAACCAATGATACACAAGAACAATGTGAGAACCATGATGGCTATCGGGATAGGTTAACAAGTACATATCTGATTAGATTGTTCGAGATGTAATTATATGATATAATTTTGATAATCTTCGTCTTCTTATCACATTAATCACTAGTAAATATATAATGGAGAATGTAATTCGTTGTGATGCACTTTGTTTAATTCAATACTCTTATGAATTGTTTTGTTTTCTATGTATGTGTTATATCACATGCACAATTCATGTGATAATAAATTTTGTGTGTGATTATTTTCTCTTCACTGTTTAATTTGAATATGCATGTGTTAGTTCTGAAAAATCAACTTGGAATATTCAATGTTTATGAATTTATTTAGCATCCTTACTTGAATTCATTCAGTGAAAATGTATTCTAAGTGGTTAAAGACTAGGAAAATGTTAGATTTCATTTGGATCTCTTTTTCAGTTAGTCAGCTACAACGTAGACCCAATCACATACATGCATCGGTCCAAGTTGCCATACCTCATTAGTCAGTCAGTCAGTCAGTCAGTAACAACGTAGAACTTCGTACGTACGTACATCAGTTCGAATTGCCACACCACATTAGCACAGAGATGCACTTGTCGATTCAAATCCCGTAGTGGTAGAATACCTCATTAACACAACAAGATGAACACCGAATTCATAAAAAAAGTTAATTCAGAGGTGGTAATATATAAAAGAAAGATTGAAATAAGGATATAGTACAGGAAGAAAGAATTAGTTCTTAGAAAAAAAGATATGAAGCGATTTTAATCTCTTAGTTTAAAGGAAGACAGAGAGTGTACACACCAACGCCATTGTGATCGATCCTGAGCCATGTCACCAAGAGTCTCCAATCATTGGTTACGGTTGTCACGCGGACGCCAACCAAGTAATCTGCATCTACCCAACCGTTGTTGCTACCGTGATGTGGTGGTCGGACTTGCCTATCGTGATGAAGTAACCGAGCCATACTGGCTGGAACAACCGTTCCTCAAGGTCCTACCATGTCAGACAGGTCGGTTGAAGAGCAGTAAGACTAAATGCAACAAACCTAAGGTCCGAAGGCGAAGTCGTACTGCTGACTGTACAGAGGTGTGACAACAGTAAGGTGTTTCCTTCAGACAACCAGCATGACAGCGACGCTGCCTTCCCACAAGGAGGGGTGGAGTTAGGAAAGGGTGATCCTAAAAATGCACACATCGCCTTATCCCACGGATATCCGTCTCTGGCGGTATGGTCTCAAGAAGTACAGAGCTAACACAAAAATTACTCATAAAAAGGTTGTGTGTGACCGACCTGAAGCAATTGTCCCTTGGGCACTGCGGTCATACTCTCAGGTCACTAAGACCACCTCTAATCCAATTTCCTTTTCAGGTACCTCCAGGATCTCTTTTTGATTCCGATCAACATTATTTCAAAAAAATTTTCAATTGGATTCACTATTGAATAATATACGAAGAAATCTGAATAAAAATAAACACAGTTAAGAATGTTATAACCAGAATATGGTTTCATTTCTTATTGTGATTCATAGGATAATCAGTCTATAATTTGTTTTCAAAAAAAGTATAGACAGTTAGTGTTTACTTATTATCACTGTATTGTTTATTCAATCATTGAAAAAGATTCAAAGTCACCTCCTCTGGGCGCGTGATTGTTAGTTTGGACACTTATTATCCAGTGTTTTCCAGTTTACGGTGATTCTCAGATATCATTAATTTTATTAAATGCAATCCATAAATTTTTCGCAAATTAATGAAAGTGGATATCATTGAACCAGTAGAGAAAATGTAAAAGATCTAGCGAGACTCATGTGAAGCTTTAGATATGTTGATGACTAGGGGATGAGCGTCCCGCGCACAGTGTATTCATTGTTGACCTAGTTCAAACTTCTGAATCTTCTCTGATTTCAATGGTTCTCTAGCAAGTGATCAGTCTGTTCATATTCGAATTCACTTGAAAAAAAAGTTATTATGTAATCTAATAAATGAAACGGTTATTAGTTCGTAGTTGTACAGCGTAAAAATGAAACTTTCTATTATTGATTAATCAATAAGTAATGAGACCAATGTTTCATGTACTACTGTGGTGAATGCTACTTATGTCTGTTGACATAAGTAGTATGTAACATCAGTCGGAATTGGAAAACCTGGCAGCAGAAGGTTGAGAAGATCGAGTTGAAAAGAATAAAAGGAAAAATAGGAAGAAATTGTGAACTTGAAGAACCTTACATAATGTGAAGGACAAATGATGGAAATTTGCAAATGAAGTATTCAATTCATTACTTAGTTACACCTGTTACTTCTCATGGAGAAGCATAGACTGCTCACCAGCACTCTCCTTCCAGCCCTGTCCTGTTCAATCACTTCCAGTTCTTTGCATTTGCTATTCATCCTTCGGATGTTTGCTTCCAATTTCCTACGTAGTGTGTTCTTTGGTCTTCCTGTTTTTCGTTTCCCTTCAGGTTTCCGAAATACCCTGTAATTTTGTATGACAATGAAACTGATTGTCCTCACCTGTGTTCTCATTTATTGCATTACTTTTGATCGAATTCTATCGATTAAGTAGCGATATGGCTAGCTAGACCTAAGTGATTTAATATCACGTACATTATGATTACTGACGTGTTAGTTTTTTGATGGGATACTCTGCCTTAACCTTTTTTTCCAAAGCTAAATTCATGACCTCCCACTGCTCGACAGGTAAACTTCTTATCACTTGACTGTCAGTAATGAAAAAAATTGATTTTTTCAGTATCTCTATTTTTCTGAAAAAACATTTCGTTTTTTTTTTCTTCCCTCATGTCCTCATCTTCATTTGTGATAATAAAAGGTGTTGGAATCATGTTCATTATTATTTTTAAAATCCAAACACATATCATGTCAATCATCTCATCCTGTTTGTACGGAACTAAGCACAACGACATCATCAAATGGTAATGATACTTGTTCAAATGTTTCGCAACCAGATTTATCTACGACATTCAGGCAAGAGACTATTGACAGTTTAATTGACAACGACTCAACAGTAAAAGAAGTGAGTTGTTTATTGTTTTTCTTTTTATTAGATGTATATGAATTAGCTCGACTTATCCACTGATTCAGTGTTATTTTTAATAACACGAAACAGTTTGACGTTTTTTTACCCTTTTATTTTACAACTTGTTTATATCTCCTTTCTGTATTTCAATTTATACAATTGAGTATAATCATTTCGTTAGTAATTGTTCTATTATTTATAAAACAGACATGCGATTCTGTATAGATCTCTTGTAGACGCCAAGAACTTATATTACTTACTTACGCCTGTTACCCTTCGTGGAGGAGAATAGGCTGCCCGCCGGCATTCTCCATCGAACGATGTCCTGGTTAATCCTTTCCAGTTGTATTACGATGAATGATTGGAAAAATGTTTCAGTTCGCATGCACTTGAAATTGTCTCGTTTCCATTAAGTGACCGTTTATAGAGTTGATTTCCTTAACCTCCACTGTAATTTAGTTTAAGAGTTTTGAAATTGAGTGATATTTTGATTAAATATATTTTTAATGAATCAAAGTATAAAGCTTATTATTGACTGAATTTTGATCAGTCTTTGTAAAAATAGTATGTACATCATATGTCGATTACCTCGATATACATTCATTTTATCGCATGAGTTTTTAGAATATATATATTATGGTTAACAGTGATAGTTAGGATTGTTGTTTCATCCTGTTTGGAGCTCATCAGGTGGATGTACCTACTGAATTTTTATTTGTAAAGATACCATACCTGTTGTACAACTATTTGGTGGTTTTGATGAACCTTTCTAATGGAAGGTATTTTGGTCGAGTCCCGGTTCGAATATTAACACAGATTCAGATAAATGCATTTGATGGGTCTCAAGTAGGATGAAGTGCATCTTTCATCCCAGTGTTAATCTCAATTCATCTTTTGGTGAATTGTGATATCGTTGTTTGAGGTGATCCTCAATGTTTTCAGTGTTCAATGCATTTGCTTTGTCTTACACTTTCGTCCACTTTTCCGTGTGTTTTGCACATCAGAATGTTACGTTTATTAAAGGCTTTTATTGTGTCTGGAAACATATACAACTGTCTGCTATCAATACATTGATGTAGTGCAGTCGGATTCAAACAAAAGGAAAACAAATTTGTTGAAAGTGTTAGGTTTTGAAGCGAAATTTCTCAGATGAAAATTACACTTTACTTTTGCATTACTTGCTCACCAAATTCCTAGAAAACAACCCAAAGGTTCTGGAAACATTTAAGGTAACTCCTTTCAACTCCTTTCAATAAACGATATTACTAATCAGTTCCATGTCAGATAATTCATTTATTTATCTTCTTGTTACATTTGGATTCACAAGTCGATCTAAGCTAGACCTTTGTTGAAAACTTGGGAGCACTGGTCGGCCGTTTCGTTCTAGCATAGAACTCCACAGTAATGCTCATCCATGACCCCACACGCGTGACTTGAACCCAGGATCTTCGGTTTCGCGCGCAAACACTTAGCGTCTAGACTATTAATCCGGTATACAACAGTGTTGATGTCTCGCTTCAACTCTGATCGATCTGTAATCTTAAACAACCCTTCATGCTTTATCGAAAATACGGAACTATCTCACACTCGTGAATTCAGTTGTGAAAATAATAGAATCTTCACGAATCTCCATACTGATAATTATCTATTTGTGTTTAAGTTACTTCATTAAGTCGATTTCAGTTAGCTGGGTAGTATTAATTACCAATATACAAATTACTAACAATTATCAATCCTTTGAATCATGATTAGTGTCTTAACTACAAAAAACTCTATCCTTTTTCATTTTATTTACGGTAACTAACATCTGATTCAAATGGTCATATCACATATGAATTATTAATGTATTTTTGAGTGTTCATCACCACATAAGGGAATTTTCAGTTTATTCTAAGTATTGGACATTCCATCTCTCTCATTTGAACTAGCTCCATTCTTTCTCTGCCTTTTTTGGTCGAAAATAGAGATTATAGAGATATATAATTCATCGGATCTATCAAATTCTTCCTTTCCATTAAACGCAACATTATTATTTATTTTGTTAATTGAATTGCTCATGTGTGTGTGATAAAATTAAAATGACGTATTCTATAGTGATTATCATCATATGACATTTCAATCATTGAAATAATCAGAAATGTGATTGAAGTTATATGAAGGAAAAATTAATCTATCAAACATGTGATATCATATAATTTACATCATGAATTGAATTTGTTTAGTCAACCATTGAAAATCTGGAAGAATTGGACAAATATTTCGTTCTAGTGTGGGAATGAACAACAACTTGTGTTCACCACCTCAGCTAAGGTTGAACTCAAAATGTTCAGGCTTCATAACCAGTTTTTTTTACCTTCAAACCTCTGATTGAAAATCCAGTTATCTTCATTTTTAATTTCGATAAATTCATAATGTTGCACAGTGGTTATCTTTCAATGTCATTGATCAGTAACTGACTGCTCCATACTTGATATGATTCAATCCCACTGGTGGTAGTGGTATGGCCTGCCATTTGAACTCTGGGGTGGGATTATCCATCAAAATTAGTCATTACTGGGCATATGATTATTATTTTTATGAAGGGTTTGTAGTGGTTATTCAACTTTATAGTTTACGTCACGAACTGACCTTGATCAAACAGCCATTAAAATCAAAGTGTCAATAGACAGGTATTTCTTCCAAGTATTGCCGCTTCTTGTCGATTCGTTATAGAAACTATGAAATTAAACAGTTTCCACAAACCCTTTTATGTTAATAAAAATGTAATCTAATTTAAGCATATTTTCTTATAGATTCTTTGTGTGTGGCTAATATTTTATTTGTTTTTTCGGTATATCATTACGTCGTCCAGTGTATTAATTGCATTCAATTGACTGATAATACAACGAACGATACAGCAGTACCCGATGAATTGGATTTCGGGCAGTCACTACAATATCTTATGGAAACTTTACAGTTAAACAGTATTAATCCGGTTACCACGGTTTCCATATCTACATCAACATCACCGTTGTCATCACAAGTATTTCCAATCATCACTAGTAATGAGTCGATTTTAACACAGACAGAAATAATTCCAACCATGGATATGGCTACATCAATAACAATTCCCAATAGCATGTTCACTAAAGGTTCGTTTTCTTTGTATTATCTAACGGCAATTCGATTATTATAAAAGTAATGCTTTGTAGTTTCTACTATTCGATGGAACTCGGTTGAGCTTACAGTCATTTCTAATAATGAGCAATTGAAATTTCTTTTTATATTTACCCAATAGTACGACCATCGATACACATACCCACACAATTTCTCAACTGTTATCAGTATAGGGTTGTAGCGATTGTTGAATTTTATTGAGATCACGGACAGTTCGAAGTTAGATTAAACATTGAAAATCATGGAGCACTGAGTGGTCGTTTGGTCGTAGCATGAAACATTAAGGTGTACTCATCCACGACCCAGCACCTTTGATCTCTTGCGAGCGCCTAGTCTTTAAATCACTAAGCAGGCATACAATGGTGTTAATGTCTAACTTCGTTTAATCCAGGTTATTGTGCAACCATCTTTCATTATCTTCAGTGGGTAAATATCTCACACTACACGGTTGAAATTTAATTGTCACATCTTTTCACTGGAACTCCAAGAATTTCCTATCGAAGTTAGTCACTAATGAACACATCATCTCCAATATAATGAAACTCATGAAAAGGACAGAAGTGTAGGAAAAGTTTTAATATTCCGAAAGTCAAGAATTCAAAATTGAAAAATAATAACTTTGTATATTTTTTAGTAGTAACGAGGCATGATCGTGAGACTCGGGAAAATTAGCAAACTATTAATGTTAAAAATTAATTAGAGAGAGTGAGAGAAAGCAAAAAATTACTTACTTACGCCTGTTACTCCTCGTGAAGGAGCATAGGCCGTTCACCCTGTCCTAGGCAATCCTTTCCAGCTCCTTCCAGTTGTTATTCATCTTTTTCATATCTGCCTCCATTTCCCGACGTAATGTGTTCTTTGGCCTTCCTCTTTTCCGCTCCCCTTCAGAATTCCAAGTTAGGGCTTGCCTCGTGGTGCAGTTTGACGATTTGCGTAGTGTATGTCCTATCCATTTCCATCGTCTTTTTCTAATTTCTTCAGCTGGAGAGCAACAAATGTCATGTAAAAATATGACATTAGAAAAGATGTACTCGTTTTTATCGTTATACGAATGAAATTAACGTTTATTCATGAAAAACTTAATAACTTGATGTCCATCTAGGATTTTCAGCCTAGATTACTTATTGTTTTACTTATTAGTATATTTCATTATTAAGTTAGTAAGTTATGTTTTTCGGTTAATTTGATGCGATCTGTCTATTCATTTTATTCTTAAATTAAACAAATGAATTTATTTATTGTAAAAGTTGGAATAAATACTTAAACCATTTAATCTATTTCAATCTACTGTTCCTGGTCTTCTCTTTTTAAATGTATGACTCATAGTGACGTATATGAACGTTAATCCATGGTCACTGAGCGCAAGTGCAGTTAGATTCGAACCCATGGTTTTGTCCCTATATGGTGACTAATTTAGCAGGAAATGATGGCTAGTAATCTTTTTTCTGATATATATAATAGAACTGTACATTGGTTATGGAGCCTCTTATATAGCAAGTGTTACGATTTTCTTCTTTTTGGCTTAATACTCCACTAATGTTATTATCGTATATGTATGTACATAAACTCGAACCCATCTTGGGAGCAACAGTTTCTTTCAAGACTTCAGGCACGAGTCCCAACTGGCATTGAAACCCAGATTCACTGTTTCCAGTTTAGGATAGAGTCATAAGATTAATCTGAACTCTCTTGTTATGGTGTGATATGAAAGCTATCCAGCGTATAAACCTAAAGTTGTTGAAATCAGCTTAACTATACGAATGTTTAGTCTCTACATGTGTGTATTTATATGTATTCTAAAACGTTTTGCATTAACACTTAAACGACTGTAAAATGATTGTGAAGCTTATTAAAAAAAGATCTGGTAATATTAGACGTAGAGTTAAGAGGGTTAAAATTATTTGTTGCAACATGTATGAACTAACTTTAAACTCAACAATGCACTGTCGAGAACGAAGCATTTTTTTAATATTTCCTATAGTGGAGTTATAGATACATACTGCCAAGGAGTCCCTCACTAGGAGGAAACAGGTCTCTAATATTTCCTTGTTTTTACTGGTTGTGTAACTAAGATCAATTCGTGGTGTTCAGCATACTTTATGTTTGCTCGCTTGTGTTTTTATTTCCTGATGCTTTAAATCATTGTATCATCAGTTGTTACTGTTGCGTGCGTTTATGTGTTATCATTTTTCTTTATTACTTCATATACTTTTCGTAGGTTCTGATCTTGAAGGTAGAACATCGCCAATCTGTGTAAGTTTCCCCTTTTTATAAATTTTCCGTTACTGATTTCTCGTCATTTGTCACATATTCGACATTCCTATTGAATTTTTGTGTTTACCATGTTCCAATATATTTTGTGTTAACAATAACTATCGTGAGCTGATTAAGTGTTCCAATTCTACACTACTGGAAATATTTCACTTTCGACCTTTGAGTTGCAGATCCAAAATCACTTTAGTTATAATAGTTAACGCTACTACTACTAAATGACTCTCTAAACTGAAGTAAACTTGATCAAGGTTCGAATCTATGGATAAATGGTTGAATGGTTAAACCCATAGGTCAATGCTTCACGTCTTTGGACAAAATAGAGAATAGGAATTTAGAGCAATTAATACCTTTCTTACATTTTTATAGAACAATTCGATGAAGTTGATCCAAACATTGTGATGTATTTATATTATATATTTCAAAAAATCTGATCACACATAGACTTGTCAAAGCGTTTGTCCTGATAATCTTTAAGCTATTTTGTGGCCTAGGGTAGTGCGGCAATTTCCTATTCTTTTCATATGAAAGGAATCTGTTTTCTTTCCTTTATTTACAATTATCATTTAATGTTTATTCGGTTTTTTAAATTTAACTGAACTTTATTAATTTTCATATATAATATTTCTTGATTAGGATATGTGTGACCAGATTGTTCGAAATGTATGACGTGAATACATCAAATTTTCAGATAAACTTTGCCTTCTCATTGTTCCACCAAGGAGAATAGGAAAAATATAAGCTAAGGATGCTCATAGTCCGTGAGGGAAGCGGTACTGCTGGTTGTGGAAAAGTTTGATGATAGTAGGATATTTTTTCCCTCAAATAACTAGTGCCTGAAATGATAATATCTTCCTAAAACGGAAGGAGATTAGAAAATGTTAACCATGAAAGTACCACATTCCATATTATCCCGTGGAGTAAGCTTCCGATCATACGAACGACTATTGACCGGTCTGAAACAGTTATTCTCTTAGGTGCTGTGCTTTCAATGCTAGGTTGTTTGTACTACAACTAACCCGTTTTCCTTCTCAGTTATCACAAGGAGAAGTATTTTCAGCTAGATGATAGAAAAGTATGCACACTATGTACTTTACTTCATATTCAACTAGGAATTAAGTATATCTCTTAGAAGACAGCGCACATTGACAAGTAGGCACATACAATGTGTTATTTAAGACATCAGAAAGCTACAGATTAATTATAAAATGAATTAAGCACAACGGATTTTCTACTGCGAAATTGTTTATTTACACTGAATCACGTTTATCTGTTTATGTGTCTAAAATATGAGTAGCATATCTAAACCCATGAATTAGATTCGAATCGGCATATGTATCAGGAAATATAAACTATGTACTTACAATTCTCTACCAGTAAACAATGAATATAATGAGTGATGGTAGATATTGATAATAATTCATAAATTCGCGGTACCTATTCACAAATAGAAGGAAGAGAGCGAGAAAATTTCCTTGCAATTAGTTATCAATCAGTTACTAAGACGCTTGAAATTAATAAATATGCAAACATTAAAACATAGAGACCACTAATTTATTTTCGTTTTTTTATTTGAATCTTCCCATTGATGTTTTGGACTGTAGCTGATCAGTCTCTTATTGGCATATGTACATCCTGTGCGAATTGAGTTGATGTTACCTTGAGTCACAAGCATTGTAAGCAAACATGAATGGTGGCTAGCAATGAAATCCAGAACACACTTTTCGTCCTATTTGGGACTCGTCAGCCGGATGAACCTGTGTGTGAAACTAACGGTGCTGGAATCGAGTTCCGGAGTGAACATCAACTCTGGAATTCAGGTACATCCAACTGATGAGTTCCAAATAGGATGAGACGTGCGTCTTGGATTCCATTGCTAGCCACCGTCCATAGTGATAAATATTTATGAAGTTTTCAAACCAACTGAAAGATTTGCTAGATTCAAAACTAATAAATTAACTTCATAAGTATTCATCTTTATGATTACAAAGCATTCTTTCACTTTATTCTCATTCATTACTACCAACCCTCACCTTTTTTTCTTTTATGATTACCTGGATTCAGAGAGATTATCAATGGTGATCTCGAAATTAAATAATAGAAATTCTTCATTCATCCACACACACATCCTTATTTATTAGTTTCCTGTCTAGTATTGATTAGTAATAATAGTAGTAAACTGTTTAATTATTATGTTATGTTTTTAATTCTATTGAATAAAAAATCTAGGAAGTTTCAACGAATCTAACTTCTTCATTGATGTGTGCTACTACTACTAATACTACTACTATTAATAATAATTATAATTATCCATTGTCAACTATTTCTCGTTCTACTTCGCCAATATTACAACAACTAAATCACAACAATGAACAGACTTGCAATCTTACAACTGGATCTTCTTGCCTCAATAATATTTCATCAAAATTAGCTAATGAACGTTTTACTAGTTTTGTACATGCTAAGTGAGTTGTTTATTTTCCTTTATTATTATTTTGTCTTTTTGGCAAATATTCTGTACTACATATTGATTGAATATGTGACGTTTCTAATGTTAACAGTATATCATTGTATCCTAGCAGTTCCAATCATTTAGTGGATCAGTGAATAAGTACTAGTTGTGAAAGTGTAGTTTCCACCAAATATTTCATTTTAAACACCCTTTCCTACTCCTTACCTTTTATTATATATATATATATTAGTATCAATAACCAAAGACATTAAAATAATAGTTGTTTCGATCGATATACAATTAATGAAAAAATGAAAGAGTGAAATCTAGAAATGATGAAAGATCAACAGATCATAGTCAAAGGAAATGAAACTAGTAAAGTGTAAGACCGGTGATTGCAGATTGTCATCATCTTATGGGCGAAAGTTTTTCACCTGAGCCTTAAAATAAATCACGTTATATGCTAATCCGACTTTTGTTTAGCTGCTCAAACTACTAATGTGCTAGCCAGCCTTAAGTGTCCATGGAATAAGCGTTGACTGGTCGCTTTTTTTCGCTGAAGATCTGAAATCTTATCAAACGATTTATTATTTCTATCTTGCACTATCCTCTTACAGTCCATGATGCCTGATTCAGCCACAGATAAACACGCTTCGTATACGCTTATTGAAAGCATCGATGACAGTGAGAGTACAGGGTAATGTTTAGGAGGCTTTAATCAGAAAACCGAATTATAGTTTGTATAAATCATATATACCTACATACAATTGTCCTTCTGACGCAAACACAGATGTGTTAACTGATATCTCAAGTAGGTTCACAATAGAATTCCTCTCATAATGTCTCGTTTATATTCTCTCACCTACCGTCTGACCTTGAGATGAATTGTGAGCGCAGGCACTTGATATATCTATACTTAACCATCCCATTGTTTCCAACTTCACATTTACTGGTCCCACCATACATCATGAGTGGTGATTTAAAACATATTTATTATCAAGTAACTTCAGTCTTATATGTTTATTTTAAACCCTTATGCGTTGGTGTTTCGGAACCTGGAAGAAATATAACACTCACTGTTGCATGGGTGTACTCACCATTTGATAGGAAGATGAAAACCCTACCTATATTGCATGTCATATCCAGACTTTGTTGACTTGCAGAAGTTAGTTCAACTGACGTAATCAGATAAACCGGTGGTTTGGCACATACGTATCAATTGTTTCAACTAACTTAATTATATATACATATATCGTTTTACTTATATCTCATTTTTATTTATTTTCATTTTTTATACATAGCTTTTTGCCAGATGATATTGTAATATTTGTTCCTGTTCCAGGAACTAGACCAAGTATTTCATCATCAACATTAAACACTTCTCCAACTGCAATCACTACCTTTACTTCTGTCACAGCAACAACGACTTCTACTGCAAGCTGTATTTCATCACAAAATTGCCATAATGCTGTAATAGCAGATGATGGTACTGTTGCTACTACTACTACTACTACTAGTAGTAGTAGTAGTAATAGTAATAATAATGTTCATGATTCAACAATGATAACTAAATCTGACATTTGGTCAATGAATAGTAAATTCGCTTCGAATCTCTTAGATGCTATTTCACCATCATCTAGTTTATTATCATCAATGATTGTTCAATCATCGTTACCATTTTCATCAATATTTATGGATTCGTTAACAGGAGGAGGAATTATAGTAGGAAGTTCTGGTACTAGCACTACTGATACTATTACATCTGTCACTACTACAAACACAAGTGACAGTAATACCTTAATGAATAGTAGTAGTATCTTATCTACGCCTAAAAACATTTGTGCTTTAATCAACAGTAGTAGTGTTGACAGCAATAGTACATTAGCTAATGAATTATGTACAAGTACATTTGGCGGTAATTATGGTACACTTTTACCTTCAACTACTACTCCGACTACTAAATCTGGTTGTAGTAGCACTAGTGTCAATACTACTACTACTACAACAACAACTGAATCATCCTTCACAACGTCCACATCAACTATCACTTATGTTCAATGGCGTATGTTATCCTCGGATGGACATGTTTACTTTTTACATCAAGATGATTTTAAGGCATTGAATATTGACGATCATATTGATTATTGTAAGCCTATGAGCTCTAACGTACAGGAAACAAGTAAGTATATATATAGATGTATATGGATATCTCGACTACTAACTCTTGACTTTCATTTGCTGTAATAGAAAATGTAAATGATCAATAATCATATTGAAACTGTTTTACTCACTGTAATTTTCATTATAAACAGTTTTATGAATAAATGCCATCTTCTGACTGATATGTATGGGATTAAAGACCTTTCTTTCCGAATTAATGGTTATTAACACTTTGTAAGTGTTGTTTGATATGTTACCATCCAAAAAGTCAGTGGAAATCATAAATTCTAAAGATATCGGTGAAATTTCAGTTTTCTTTTCTCACTTCGATTTACTATTTGACAAACGCTAGAGTAATATTGGTATTGAGCTTTCAGGAACCATGAATGCAAAGTTGTTTTCCATTTTCATTGACATTTCAAATAATTAGGTAATTCAACAATTTTGTATACTGATTCTTCATTCCTTTCCGTTTGTATGAAGACTGACAGCATCATGCCGTCACTAAAACATTAAATACGTAGGATGGGTTTCGAACTTGGTTTTCTCATATTAGAAAAATCTAGTTCGTAAACTTAGAAGTAACAACTTAATCAGACATTGTTATCGCTAATCATTAATACTAACCACTCAAGCCATTTTTGAAATGATTCAATGAAATCAAGTCATGATTGTTTTTACTTGCTAGAGATTCGTTGTTCAAACTTTGAAAAAGATTTGATATCGTTTCATTCTGTAACCGTTTATTGTTTTGTTAATCAGTGACTATAAATGGATATTGAGCAATAATTCAAACTTATTTAATCAACTGGATACTTAAAACTATTCAGAATTGTTTTCTACTATATAAGCAAGTTATTATGACTTTTTAACAAGTGTGAGTTATCAGTTTAGCACCACTCCTCTTTATATGAGAACTAATACTATACTACTCAAATCTTTAGTGGAGTTTGAAATTACATGTATATACGCCGGTGCTTTTGACTAGCCTGACGTTATGTTTTTGTCTAGATATCATTGTTTACTCTAGGTTTTCTTGTTTATCACCGTTGGTTATATTAAAGTTGAATTATATGGGTTCAGATCACTTTCCGCCTTGTAAATAGTGTTTGCTGGACATGGAACTCTGTTCATGTAACTGTCGTTTCTTTATGGCAACGTTTATTGTTATGATGTTTTGTGGTGTAGATGATTTAATCAGTAGACAAGCATCACTTTCATTTTAATCAACAAATATATTCGCTTACATCATAAATACACGTCGACAATAGTGCCTAGGTTCGAATCCATCGGGACACATTAGTTCCCTCAACATTACAGGTATATCTTGCTGGCAAGTGTCAACTAACATGACCCACGTCCAGAGTTTCCTATTGGTTATCTCCAATTGTTTAACATAGTAAAGGATATCTAGACCACTACTAGCCCTTATCTGTTACAAATTTAAGTACGAGTTTAATGTTCTAATTTTGTCTATTTTTCAGATATTACATGTAGGTTGTTTGACAAATGTCCCAGTTGTATTTTCACATTTTTCTCTTGTATTATGTTTTGTGTTAACAGATTCATCTCACCATAGGAATATGTCGTTTAAAGAAGCATTTCAGGCACATAATTATTTTGTCGCAGCCAGATACAAAAGTAAAGAACGTTGTTTATCTAAACGAGTAAGTTTATCTATCCGTTTATCCATCCATTGATAGATCTATCTGATGATTGTGTATCCTCATGAGTGTTGTTTTGTTTCTTTTCTTTTTTCTACCAAAATTCAACTTCACCTGAGCACAGTCATTGTACTTGTTAGTTGAGTTTATGTTTAACAGACATATATGGTATAAAACAAAACTGGGAACATATCGATCTGTTGTTTATTTTGCTCTTTATACCTATCTAGTATTTCTTTGATTTTCATTCAATTTAATATCGATTGCAAACAAGACTAATCACCGTACTAACAAATTTTTATATTTGTGATGTCTTTAATTCATTTGATTGTTTTTGAAATTATCAGGATTAATGAAGGTACTATACTGAGCTAAAGCTTAGAATCGTGTTTAAATTCATTGAAGTTAATCTGCTTTGGTAGGGATTGGGGCGACTGTCCCGCAATAGATATGATTATCAGACTAACTGTTTGACTGGAACTTACGCTACTTCAAATAATCAAACGAAATATACCTGTCTGACGATTCATTTTTAATTCAAACAAACATAGGTACTGTATCTTCAGCCGTCTTTTGTATAATGGAAGAAAATAGTCAACAGTCTGTAGTATAACTCACATATACTGTACAACATACAGTGAACCGGATAGGTAGGTTTATTCACATTCATCGAAAAAGAGCTGGAGATATGTGATTATTATTCATTCAAGTTGCCTTGTAGTTAGAAATTAATTGATATAAATCCTAGTCAATAATTTTATGGATGTTAGTTCATATTTCGACTCAGTTCAAGTATTCTTTCAACTTTCAATTATCACCCTAATGTCGTTTCGAGTTGTGTTTTGTTTTTGTGTATATCAACATTAGCCCCAATTGGTGACAGTAAACTTGTTCAATCTCCGTTTCGATTACTTAAGACGTCTGTTGCGCTTCTCGGAGGTTACGCTCTCCAACTGTCTCATCGTTTCACGGCTTATCGTCTTCACATTGTTCCGTTTTCTCTTCTATACGGTTATTTTGCATCTCAGGAGCAAACTGGAAGAGAGGCTAAGTTTGATCATTAGGAGAGTGGAAGGTTTAGTGTAGTAATCTAATTATAATCATGGGACTGCTTGATAACCATTGTTGGATATTTAAGCTCACCGTTGTAGTATGGAAGTCATACGTCATACATCTTGTACATTAGATTGCACACGTTCTAATTAATTTTGTTCATAAACTATCCTAAATATTTATGTATTTCCTGAAATTGTTTTTTACGTTCCACCAACTGATGTAGTTACTTGGTTCGGGTATTTACCGGACTGATCATATGTATGTTAGATCGGTTTTGTAGAGGACTAGATTTTATTTTACAGAGAATTATTATATCTGTTTTTGTTGTCGACTTATCAAATATCAGGAATATGATATTTTTATATTGTTCTTATCGTAAGCTTTCATTTTCATTCGTTGAGTTGTTAGATGTTTTACTGTTCCTTAATTATAGTTATTTAATTACGGGCCTATTGTTCAGTTTTGTATCACATATGACTAAGTAATGTACAGTTTGTGGTGGATTGTGGTTATGTAACTGGTGTGAGTTTTGGAGTTAGAATAATAGAAACTTAATCGGCTTACTGCCTTCGTGTTGTAATTCATTACTAGGGTTAGGAAGAACCAGATGAACCAATAGAAATTAGAAGTTTCATTCGTTATCTTTCACGGTTATTTAGTTATTCGTCAAAAAAGTGGAAGGTCATTTATCCAAATAACAAAAGGCGAACTAGTTATGATTGGACTCCGTAATTAAATGACTGGATTGAACTGACAATATGAAAAGATTTGGTTTCATAAATCATGTATGCTTAAATGATTTCATTACAAATAATTGATCATTGAATAGAGTGATCAATGTATTTATTTAGTTCTTATGGTGCTAATCGGATTCTATCGATGAAGTTGCAATCTGACCACTGGTCTATGTGACTCGACATCATGTGCACAATGTTGAAATGTAATCTGGTGGTTGATGGTAATCGGCAGAAAACACTGAATTTTTGTTTCTTGTTATTTGGTACTCATCAGCAAGCTGTAACTGTAGTCTTAAAGTAATTAATACTTACCCAACTCACTGAGACACAACTCAAACTGAATGATATAATTGAATGCATCAGTGGGCATCAGTCCTCTAAAGATCACAAACCTCAAGTAGCATGAAGCGTAGATTCACCGTTTTTTGTCAACTAACTATCTCTAACCACTTAACATTAAATTAATATTCTATTAATTTAATTTATTTCCAATGTTTTTCTTTTGTGTCCAGGCAAATAATCGATTCAATTTGCCGAAAAACTTTATATTTTACCGTGTTCGTGCTCGTCCTTTGTTGAATAGTAATAGTAGTAGTACTAACTGTGGCGGTGTTGGTGGTATTCCTTCGTCACCTTCTCCAACTGGAAATCTTAATCGTCAGCATCATAATAATGGCAGCAATAAAAATTCTGTGATTTGTGATTCCCATCCACTTATTTTACCAGATACAGATGTTAATAAAGAGTAAGTTTATAAGTGACATATATGTGATTGACGGTGGTGGAGAGTAGGGGCGTTCCAATCCGTTTGAGATTTGTCCTCGATGAGAATAGGTCGGCGGGTGACGGTGGTAGATAATAATCGAAGTATTGTTGTAATTATTACTACTTATTATTATTACAAATATTATTCGCACTTTTATTTTACTCTCCTTTGTTTTTCTCTCGTCATTGTTGTCATTGTTATTATTCTAACCTACTTGCATACCTACCTACCTACCTACCATATCATGCCTTTCATACATTACATATATCACTTCATCAATCATAATAAATTTCCTTCACAATCAAGCAAGATATACCAAGGGTAAAATTAATAAAAAAGTAATACTCTTTAAAATGACACACACACATCTACATCTATCATAATATTAAGTTACCCCTCGACTAATATTGAATGATGGAACTCATTATACTATCCCATAACCCACAATTATACAGATGTGGTTGAACGAAAAATCGTCTATTATCATTAGTACTAGTTCTCAATAATACATTGAGAGAAAAGAATTGAATGTCATTATTCACATTTCTGTTTCCTTATTCTTCTACTTTGTCTCCCTTTAAACTTTTAGGATAGTTCATTACTACCATTGAACTATGTTGTTGTATATGAAACACTTACCCTTAACTATTCTTTATGATTGTGTGATCTCCTATGTATACACTAATATTTATTAAGCGCCTGTGTCTTTCTTTTCCCACTTTCTCCCCTATATTAAACCATATATATAATACATATATATGTATTCCTTGTTTATGTATGAGGTACCCCTTTCCTCTTATTCATCTGGTTCAAGAGGTTATTTATTCTGTCTTCTTTAAACGTCTGGATGATTTCCATCATAGAACCTACTTCTGTCTGTTGGTTTTCGATTGTTAAATCTAATCACTTGTTTGAAAAGTTTTTTTTGGCTTTATTACGCACACACCCTTACCATTTATTTACATATATTTTCTATACTGTGTTCTTGTTCTATGTTTGTGTTTCAGATGAACAATTGTGTATAAAGCTATCCAGTTCTCTTAACGACATTAGTATTATTATTGCCACTGTCCATAATAAACAACATTGATCATGTTGATGGTATTCGTGGTGGTATTTCCTTCTATCTCTTTCTTTCTATCTACATTTAACATCAACTATGGCAAGCAAAAGAATTCCGCATAGATTTTTCTCATCTCTTTCTTAGATTTTCAACTTGACATGTATAAATTATTGATTATTGTTTGTGTTTGCTTTAAATACTGTGTAGATTCTTCCTGATATATTTTTCGCTCCTCTTCACTTATTGTCATCACTTCAAAATGGGTATATATGACCTATCCAACTATACCTATACCTATATATATATATATATATATATAATTATTTTTTACAGGCTTTTCTTTTTGAAAATTATTTCACATCATTTTGGTCTTGTATTATCTAAGACAAATAAAATCTTATTAAACCTATAAACTAAGCTAATCCTAACTAAATTGTTGAACAGTTACTGTTTTCTTACTAAACACAAACTATATACACTTTTTGTTTGTACTAAAAGAATTGTCATTAATATCATCATCATCATCATCATTATCGTTCTTGTTATTATTGTCAAAACCTTTATGCATATTATGATAACGTACGTACACAATGATAAAGCTTAACCGGTTTATATATATATATATATATATATATATATATATATATGTATTTGTAATTTACTCTGTACTATATAAAAGACTGATAAAGTTTGCCCATTTTAGATATAACACAGATGTGTATTCATGATCATTTCTGTCATGGTCTATGTTTTGACTTTCTTTTCTCTTTTTTTTTCTTTTCTCTTTATTGCAATTGTTAATCTTCTTTTTTTCTTTTTCCTTTATTTATTCTCTTTCATTTATATTCTTTATATATAAACACTGAGATGATATAAAACAATGACAATGAACAATTACACAATTATTCTCATTTCATACAACAATGAAAACATAACAACCATTATTATTCATACTCAGAAATAATTTCTATTAAATTAAAAGGATTTTCTAGTTAATAACTTATACATATATAGATATTGAAAGTAGAAATAGTTTAGGCTTTTTTTCTTTTAAAAAAGAAAAATACCTATTACATATAATGAATATTAATGTGAACAGATTGGGTTTTAGTCCAGTTATCATGGAAACAAATTAAGTTTTACGTTTGTTCACTTGATATTCCCTAATATAACTTGTAACCGGATCAATTGATTAGATTTAATAAACCATTAGTTATGTTACTGGTTGAAATCATGAGTCAATTGAAGTTAGACCACCATGGAAAACCTGGAAGCACTGGACGGCCGTTTCGTCCTAGTATGGGACTCCTCAGCAGTGCGCGTCCACGATCCCGCCCCCCGCGACATTCGAACCCAGGACCTGTCAGTCTCGTGCCAGGCGCGAATATGGATCCGATGCTTTAAGTCAATCAAATATGTACACGTAATTAGCTAAGAAACGATTTACATTTCTAGGGAATGGCATATACACTATTAGTATCAATCTGATTCTTCAATAAAAAACTACCATCTCCATTATAGAACAACTTCATATGAATTTGAAAATGACAGGTTTATTTGTTTAATTGTCTATTAGTATGAATCTAATCAATTCTCTGATTTTTCTCGGTAGTATTCTGACTAGCTTGAATTATCCGACCTGTTTCTTTATTGTGTTACCGAAATCATTCAATTTAGATGATAAAACACGTTATGAATGATGTCGTCACAAATATCTACAATTGTTCTCAGTCCCACTCATGTTGATAGAATTACTTGTTGGTTTATGAGACACTACTTTCATTAGTAGCATATCAACAGTTCGAAACTCCACTCTACCAATTTTGATTTCGGCAATTAATTAGCTCAAAATAGAGTACATAAATATCTACATATTAGATGAGTTATCTTCTATTAATATATAAAGGGTTTAAAGGTCTTTTCAGTTTTTTTCTCCATATCTTTAGGTATATAAATGTTCACTTATATTCCTTGTTTTCTTTCTCATACAGTCATGCAGAAAATTTAAGTGAAATTACTCACAACTTAACCATAAATATAAGTATATATAAGTAGTTAAGGTTTATAGGAAAACAGTTACTTTTAAGGCTAATTCTAGTCAGCTGAAAGTACATGTTTTCCAATGTTCCAAATACTTATTATTATGTTATGAATCACACTGGTTTATTTTTGTACAGACATACGTAATTATGAAATTGTTACTAAGACAACAATCTTTGATACATGTTTTTATCAATTTACAAAACTAAACTGCTCTGATAAAAACAGAAAATAAGGTCAAAACGATCATGAGTTTTTCGTCCCTGAAGTGATCACATTCACACACCGCTGAGGAGTCCTATACTAATACAAAACAACTATTTAATGATTCATGGTTTTAAATAATATACCCACCTAATCAATCCATGACAAATATGATCTATAAATTAATAACTAAACCGAATGTTTTTGTATAGAATTAAGTTGGTGAGATAGTAACAGAATTGTTGAAATGTATAAGGACAAAATGAGTGAATCATATCGAAGAGAAAGTAATATATGTATATAACGTTTATCAAATAGATTTTCTAATGGAAATGAACATTGTGTTAGGTCGTAGTCAGAACGGTAGAATTCGAATCTCCATTTTGAAACACTACTTCAGTCCTTTCAAATAGAGTATTAATCATTCCTTGAAATGTAGAATCTGATCCCTTTTGGTAAAGTAGTTTTAATAATGTAACTTATTTGCTTTCATACTCTGGAAAGTCCTCATGAATTTACTTAGGAAAGTAAGTTTTAATACATCTTGTTCCGCGTAAATGGTCAGATTAATAAAGTGATTCCTCTTTCAGTTTGCGTGTCATTATTGAACACACACGAAGCATTAGTTATAGTTTGATTCTGTTGACAAGTTGTTTGAACTGTTCTTTTTAATTTATAAATTAACATTCAATAAGCGCATTATCTCTTATTGTCTGAGAATAAGAAGAACAGTTATTGACTTATTATTCTGTTGTGGGATAAATCATATAAGTCTAAATGTGTCAAATAATGTATATATGAGTATAAATTGTTTAACTGAACTTACATTTTAGGTGAAGGTCATCGGCTAACCAACCAATAATTACTTAGCTTTCTGTGTTGACCTTCATATTAAAGCGTACTATTACGTATGCCTGCCAAACTATCATAAAAATCATTCATGCTGTTAATGGTGCCATGATGAAACAAAGTAAGGTATGAGTTTATAAAATAAATATAGCTTAAATGAACTTAAAAGTAATTGCAGAGAATTATTTCTTCCTGTAAATGTTATAAAACGATATATTCCATTAAATAACATCGCTTATATGACGTATGCATAATTAATAGTATAAGTACGTTCTAAAGGTAATTTTCATCACCGATTCAAAATTAGTAAACCTTAAAAAAAAGCACAAGACACCTTTTACTTCCTTGCCTACAATTACTCGTTACTGAGTGCTAACGATTTCATATAGGATATGACTAATTGTTTTCGGGTCTAACGTTGAGTACGGTACTTTTCAATCACAAAGTTAGGGAAAAGTTACTCGAATTCTCGACTTTAATTGATTTGTGATATAATCCTATCAATATACACTAGTCACGCCTCAGTAGAAATTGACGATTTGTACTTGAAGTTAGTCACTTGTAAAGGTATGATTGTTGTTAGAAGAAAACGTGAAAACTGTTCAACCTATTCGATCTACAACTGGACCTAGTTAGTCTCATTTCGTTTCAAATTCTTTTTGCCCCACCCATCATTTTCCTACGGTAGGATATCATGAAAAAAGTGTAAAGATAATTGGTTTATGATATAGTGCAGAGGAATGAAAGGTTATGTGTTTTTATAATCTTTCGACCGCTGTCCTAGACTTTCTAGATCGGTATGCTTTACTGTCTGACTTCACAAAAACTTCTTGTAGTCCTAATATAAACATATTAGGAACGAAATTTATACTGCTAATAGCGTTGAATAACGGTAGTAGTAAATCGACTGATCAAAACCTAACGATGTTAGGTTTTATCTGCGTGGTCATTAATCAACAGTACTGAAAAGTTACAAACAAGGACGAAGTATCGGGTTAAGGTTATCCAACCGTGGGGACAATAAGCGATCTTCATGGGAAATGTTCCTGGTATTTTGGCACAATATAGAATTCTCAGCATAAAGTATTTCAACAAGTTTCCTTTTCTTATATCTTGATCGGTTGTGACGATAAATTTTGAATGATGACCAGTTAGATGTTAGGAGTTCGATAATCCACATTTGATTAATGTTCATTCGTTTCAATGCATATTGCCAGTCACCATGATGTCGCTGATCGTACCTTTTTGTAACCCGTATAGCGAAAGGTTGTAAACTTCATAAACGCGCCTGAATAGATTGTGATCACAATAGACATAATGATGTGCTAAAACAAACAAATAACTTGATGAAATATCTAGATCGGAGGAACAGGTAGCCCAGATATTCAAGCACGCGGCCGCTTTTTTTTGAGTAAATTTACTTGGTAAGAATATTATTTGTACATAAATTTTGTTAGGGATGCTGAGGAATATATTAATCATTATCATGTTAAGTCTAATGATGTCCTTGGACTCTAAATGGGCATTCCCTATTGGCCATTATTTATTTCACTCATTAAATATTGTGTAAATGCTGTTTTCTATTTTATGGTACGATGTGGTCTGGTTGATTAGTATATAAACAGAGTGTGTATGAAATATAATGATTCATATCTCAGAGGCTAAGACTTGCGTTCAGGACTCAACTGGCTGGGCTAGACAGGGAAGCGGGACCAATCGGTACTCTAGGCCGTTCTTACGTGTCACTGTAATCGATCAATAAAACGCTACTTATCAAAACCTGCAGTCCACCCGTTACAACAAATTTTATTTTTAAGAAGAATCGAAGTTTAGTGACAGACATTTTTCTGGATGTGGTACTTTGTCTAAGGAAGGAAGCATCCATAAAATAGTTCAATTTCCTACGAGCCAAAGCAGATATAAGCAAATCAATGTTTCAAAGACAAATGATTCAGAATTCATGGTTGAAAGTGCATAGTATGAATAGTCATCAACTTCGTGTTTGCATAATCCTTATTGCTTATTAAATTAAAAAAAAATTAAATTGCAACGTAACCACTAGTTTAGATGATTCGAAACCTCGTGTGCCATGTTAAGACATAAGATCGTTAGAATTAGTCAAAAAGAAACGCTAGACCTAGGTTTCGTAGTAGCTAGAACTAATGCGCTAGATAAACACAGTGTTGGTCATTACTCTATGATCTTACTTACACCTGCTACCTCTCGTGGAGGAGCATAGGCCACCCATCAGCATTCACCATCGAACTCTGTCCTGGGAAATCCTCCCCAGTTGCTATTCATTCTTTTCATGTCTGTCCCCAGTTCTCGACACACTGTGTTCCATGGTCTTCCTCTTTTCTGTTACCCTTCAGGATTACGAATTGACGCTTGCCTCGTGATTCAGTTTGATGGTTTGTGCACTGTATGCTCTATCCACCCTTATAATCTTTTCCTTATTTCGTGTTCATTTAGAAGCTGGTTTGTTTTCTCCCACAGTAGACTGTTACTGATAGTATGGGGTCAACGGACATTGATTATCTTGTATAGACAATTGCTTCTAAATACTTGTGCCTTTTTGATGATAGTTATAGTAGTTCTCCGCGTTTCAGCTCCGTACAGTAGAACTATCTGTAGCTCTTCTAGGGCCACTGTTGATCCCAAGCCTGGATGAATGAGGAGGGTTGGGTGTGGAGTCGGCAACCCCATCCCGTAGAAAACAACTTTGCTAAAAAACGCTAATCAGTTCACGATTAGATATATGCATAACTTGACATAACAGTTAAATTGGTCTAATTTTAGTTGATTGGCAGTAGTAGCTCATAAGAACTTCAATGTCATTCATAAGTGAAGTAATAATTTTAAAATTAAAACGATAAAGTAATACATTAAATATTAGTCGATATCTAGAATCTAAACTTATCTTCCAATATATTTAA